ACGTCCCTCCAGCCCTTTGGCTCCACTTTGGTCCTGAGTCCCACTGGCTACGCCTCAGTTCCCCAGCACCCTGGCTCCACCTCGGACGCTCATCGCTGCGGCTCCGCCTCGGTCTCCAGAACTGGTGTCGCTTGGTCTCATCATCTCTTCGGCACCATCTGAGTCTCCACCTCCATCAGCTTTGTCTAAGTCTGTCGTGCACCTGGATCCGCCTTCCAAGTCTCTACCATGGCTCCTCCCTCCCTCGACTCTGCTGTGGTCATTCGTCCTGGCTGTGCTTTGGTTTCCAACTTGGCTCCTTCTGCTCTCGTCTCCCCCCTGGCTCCTTCCACCGTCATTGCCACCATGGTCTCTCCCGCCATCATCTCCTCCTGTTTCCTGCCCTTCGCCAGCCACTCGCCCGCCTCCAGAGCCTCACCCTCTCTCCTCAGTTGGACTGTTAATAGTAGTTGCGTGAGGACGCGCCTTCCGGAGGGGTGAGTAATGTCAGGATTATCTTTAGTTCTGTTTAGTTTGACTGTGTTTTGGTTTCATTTTGATCTGTTCTAGTTTGCCTGTGTTCCCTGTCATTGTTAGTTGCCTTGGTTACTGAGTTGGGTTCTACACCTGTTCGCTGTTATGTTGATTACTCCCTGTGTATTTAAGCCCTGTGGTAATGCTTAATTCCATGTTTCCAGAGTGTTCCTGAGTATATGTGATTTATATTGTTCTCGTTGTATTCTCCCTTGTCATGTGCTTAATACTGGAACCACCCAATTGTGACAATATAATTAGGAAATTATTAAATTTCAGACTCTTTAAGTGCAAAAGTATCATGATTCCCGTAAAATCAAATCTTTTTTTATTTGAATATGGTACAATTTTGTGTCACATAATGTTAAAGGATGCAAATAACATTGTCTGCAGTGATAACTATTAGATATATTTGATCAATTATTATCTAATATTAAATTTATCATAATGGTCCTTATATCATAATGTTTACATAATCTGTTGAACCAATATGCACATCATAGTCCAAAACTATTTTTAATTTTTAAACTGTCGTTTTTAAAAATGACCAAAAAACATACTATTTAGCTTGTACCTACATGGTTAAAAAAAAAAAAGCTCAATGCTAAATAAAGCAGCTCGTTTAAGTTTGACCTCCTGAGGTTGACAATAAATATATTTTACGCACTTCCTTTCACTGAAAATTTTCAAAAAGATAAACTGCCTTTCCAATTGAATAAGCCATACTAATTATGCATTTAATAAAACAACTCACTGCACAATTATTTCATGGCCAGTCGTCTTGGAGCAACCTGAGGTGATCTGTCCAAGCACACCATCACACCAATACCTTTGCTGTCAAACCAAGTTTAAAACACTTTCAAGTATTCTGCATAAAAAAGTGGCTTGCAAAAGCAAAGTGCTTTTTTGTATCATCAGCTATATTTACTGTAGGTCAACATTTCTGCTGCACCATATTAGTGGATTCCACAGAGGGAAAGGGATTTAAGGAAAGGTAGAAAATGTCAAAGCAAGGGTAAACCGAACAGCTCATGCATCAGCTGCTTCAGAGGATGACCTCAAACACAGCTGTGACAAGGACATTAGCTTTTATTTATGACTGGACCTGGAAAGACAGCGCAAGACATTTAAAAAAACTCATTTTGTAAAAAGCAAGAGTTTCACAATCTTAGTATTTATATTTTCTAAAAGAGAATGGAGTATAGAGTGCAAGTAGAATGACAGATGATAGATATTATCAGGTATTAATTATGAGGTGCTGTAAATTACTTTTCTAAATGAAACATTCTTATATTATTTAGACCAGTATTCGGGGCTAAAGAGTTAAATGGTTCAATATAAAAAATAAATAAATAAAATTTACTTTCAGATCACTGACAATTTTCACAAATCTAAATAAAAAAAATCTGAATTAGATTTTCTGTCAGAATACTATATTACCACCAAAGCCCAGATAATTACACAGACATACAGCTCACACGCAGTGTAAAGAAACCTCACATTGATTTAAGATGAAGCGATTGCTGGAAAACAATGGTCTTTCAGAAAGAGAGAGATCGAATGAGAAACATAAAGGAAGGGAGAAAATGTGTAGAAACAAAGGGAAAGGTAGAGTCAAAGACATGATAAAGAGATGGATAGGCAGAAACTGTATAATAGGCACATAATTTTTTGTATAATTGTATAATTATAATGTATAATTCATTTAATTTCAAAGTATAATGAAAATAATTAATAGGTATTATCAAGTATCCAGGTTCAACCAGTCCATGATGAATTATCACCATTGTGTCTTTGTTACACACTATAAAATCCTTTCAGATTCACTGTGTAATGTATGATGATAATGTTTCATGCATTATGGGATGGTATTTTGCTGCTTGTATATATATATCATGAGCCTAAATGTTAATTCTCCAAACTTCCTAATATGGTAAACTACTCTGTTTTGTACAATAAATAAAATAATAATAATAATAATAATAATAATGTCAAAAACGTCCTTTTACAGTTTTCATTGAAAAGTAATAGGGGACTCTTTCACTAACAAACATGATTTTTAACAAACATAATTTTATATTTGCACGTATAAAATAGGAACTCCCGCACACTATCAGTACTTGCAAATAAGGTCGTAAGACCGAAACGTTGTCGCTAAATTAAAGTTTTATTTGCAAGTACTGATAGTGTGCGGGAGTTCCTATTTTGTAGATTGTCGACCAATCTTGGTCTTCCTTTCCTACGCACCTATCACCTACAGGTGTGCGATGGCGTTTGTTTATTGATATTTGCACGTATAAAAGTGAATGTATTATATTATTAAATATAATAATTTTTTGAGTAATAATTACAGTTATTCATTATTTATACAGTATTATATAAATTATATAAATCTTTCTATCATGACAACTCTCTGAAGAGTTTAGCAAGATAATGGATATGACAATGTTAATGTATTTGGTCATGGCTGAATAGATCTGCTATGCGGCTGCTGCTGCTGCTGCTGCTGCTGCTGCTGTTGTTTATCATTTCTGGTGCAGAGCAAGTACAGACACTTGCTTTTGTGTCTGTACAGTTGCTTTTGAACAGTTGCCTATATGGGTCAAATTGACCCACGAACACCAAGATCGTATAAAATTTCTGTATACACATTTCTTTGTCTCTTTGCCTTAGAACATTAAAATATGCGGGTCAAATTGACCCACGGACATCACAAACGTAATAGTAGTTATGTGTGTATATGTCAAAACACATCAGCTTGTTGAAACTTTCCATGCATGTTCATGACACTAAATTAGAAAAAGCATATAGGTTAACCGGTATTTCCGACAACTCAAAAATCAAAATGGGTCAAATTGACCCGTAACATCTTGAGTTTCATAACAGAACTTGGTACTGTATATAATACAGCATTATTTAACAATAAAATGTCGTCCTGTTAAATCTAATGTTTTTTGTGTGTTTTTTACACCATATTTGGTACTTTGGCAACTTGGTTAGGTTTTCACTGTAGCATTTTTCATTCTTTTTCTATTAAAATGACAAGCATTTTTAGAGCGGGGAGATGTTCCTGTAAAAGGAGCACTGGATAAATTTGTCAGTAAAAATTACATTTATAAATAGTTACCGTTTTTAATGTGTTGGGTCTAGCATCAGTAGATAAGAAAGATGACAATTGTTCCCATTTAACATAGCCTTTCTTATTCTCATATATGGGCAAACTTTGTATTGGTATGCATGGCCTTATAGTTATTTCTCTTTTGTGTGTTCTCATCTCATGCCCTGTATCCGATTGCTCACCCCACCTCCTCCTCTCTGTTTATTTAACCCAGCGTCTCATGCTACCACTCTTTCTCAAACTGTCAGTCTCATTTTTGCAACTGATATTTTTATTTTTATTATTTATTTGCATAGTTAAGAAAATAAACCAGATTTTATTGGGATCAAGGAGCAGTTGATAACAGACAAAGGAAGCGATAGAAAATGGGGTAAAGGAATGGGCAACGGAAAAACAGAGGGAGGAGGGAGGAGGAGGACTTTATGGAGTCAATCAGGGATGAGAGAGATACACATGGGGAGCGAATGTGATGGACTAAGCTGGGTGGGATAGTAGGAGTCAAATCAAGTCAGGGAAAATTTAGAAAACAAAACAAAAAAGAGAGGACTTGTCAGACTCATTTTGGAAAAAAACTGTAGCCATGGGGAATAAACCAAATCAAAGAGTGGAAGAGGAAGCAGATTTGTTTGCTTGCTTTTTGTGTGTCTGTGAAACAGAGTGGCAAAAGATCATAAAACAAGATTAATGACGAGAGTTGCAATGCGATGGCCATGTGTTGTGTGTATATACATATAATATATGTTTATAGAGTGCAAATTCCTCTGCACATGCTAATATGGCTAATACTAATACAATATCTGCCTCAGTGTTTTAAAAAAAAACACTTGATGTGCTTTATGTAATTCACAAAATAGCTAAAATAGCTAAATAGTATTTTTCGGTAACATTTTACAATAAGGTTTCATTAGTTAACATTAGTCAACTACATTAGTTAAACTTAACTAATAATGAACTGCACTTCAACAGCGTTATTTTCAACATTTACTAATACATTATTAAAGTAAAAAATTTTAAGTTAATGCACTGTGAAGTAACATGAACAAACAATGAACAGCAGCTGTATTTTTATTAACTAACATTAACAGATGAACAAATACAGTAACAAATGTATTGCAAATTGTATCATGGTTATAGTTTATGTTATTGACTAATGTTAACAAATGAAACCTTATTGTAAAGTGTTACCCATTTTTCTATTCAGCCTGTCATGTCAATAATTTTACATATGCAATTCATTTTTAATACATTTCCACATTTCGTTTCAAGACCATTTACATTAACTTCTGGGTTGCCACTTGATGTCCAATGTTAAATATGGGTTCAAAAACGAATCATCTATATCATTCCTCCTTGTGACCAATTCTTGCAGGCATGGAGACCTTCTCAGGAGAGGCATTCTTTGAGCATGCTGAACTCAACAGCACTTTCAGAGGAGGATCATACTTCTGGTTGGTCACTCAAAACAGCTCAATAAACCGCACTCAGGTGCCAGGTCCAGTTAGGATTCGGGACATGGCTCTGGCTCAAGCCGAGATTGGAATTCTGGGTCTGGTTCTCGCTCTGGCAACACTAGGGAACAGCTTTGTACTGTGGGTTCTGCTGAGGCGACGCAAATACAACGCACCCATGCACCTATTTATGGTAAATCTGTGTGTTGCGGACCTTGTGGTGGCATTTTTTCAGGTGAGCTGAACTGTTTAATGCTTAGCAAAACATTACAGGGTTGCCAACACAGACCGTCTCACGCTCTCACGTCACCATACTAAATCTCACGTCAAATAATGACAATGACAAAGACAATGCAAAATGCCCTTGATAGAAGCTTTCTCGAGAGCGCATATTTCCATTTCGTAAAACAGACATAAGAGCAAGCGAGTCGTGGTTAAATTTCAAAGACACGTGGGCATGAGTATCAAATAGGCGGAGCTCAACAAAAAAATTAGAGCAATAATTTAGACTAAAATATTATTTTCATAAAATATTTGTTGTTTGACATAAAATTTATGTAAGAAAGTAAATATTTTTTTGTTCCTGCAGAACATTTGACCTGCTAGGTTTGTTTTTGTTTATTATCTATAATTTATTGATTTTAAACTGTCTTGCTTGCTTTTTTTATTATTATTCATATTTTTTAATGAATTGGCCTGTAGGAAAATATGACTTGCCGGTACCCCTCAAGTAATATTAGGTAGTTAAACAGCAAGCAATTGAAAAGTAAAAAAAAGAAGTGTATATTATACAACATTAACCTTGTAAGATGAAATTAAAAATGAATTGTTGCATCCTCAAAACCTCCTATAGGTGCCTGTGATTGGTTCAAGCCATGTCTACAAAATCTCACTCCAGCCAGGTAACCAAAGTTGGTAACCCTGGCATTATTTCTTTTAAGTGACTTGCCAACAGCAGTTTACTGTTTTGCAGGTGCTCCCGCAGCTGGTATGGGTTATCACAGAGAGATTTCAAGGTCCTGACGTGCTGTGCCGCTCAGTGAAATATCTTCAGATTGTGGGAATGTTTGCATCCTCTTACATGATTGTTGCTATGACAGTGGACCGCCATAATGCCATCTGCTGCCCCCTGCAGACTTACAAAGGAGGGGCAGTTTCATGCTGGAATACACCCATCATGGTAGCCTGGGGTCTAGCCCTTGTTCTCAGTGTGCCGCAGGTACTATGGTTGTCAATACTAAAGTATTACAACATTTAAAATGTTATAGGAAGTATCAGTCAGAGAATATGCATTCTTATACAATATTCACCCAATATTTGCAATACATTTATCACCTTCAAGTCATTACAAACACATATGATACTTTTCATTCCATGAAACACAAAAGGAACTATTTTAAAATATTTTCCCAATGCTGTCTTCCCTACAGGTGTTTATTTTCTCCAGGTCAGAGGTCTCTCCAGGAGTGTTTGAATGCTGGGGGCACTTTGCCGAGCCCTGGGGGCTGAAAGCCTATGTCACCTGGATGACTGTAGCCGTGTTTGTGCTTCCTACCTTTATTATCACCATTTGTCAGGTACTGCTGCACCAGTGCATTTCATTTGTCTCTAATCCCAGTTTCCACATTCACCTTAAAAAAAATATATAAATGTGAAGACATTAGTTAGACATTACAGAATCACATTAGAATTATCATTAGTGGGCCTAGTTTAAAAGCAACTATACTGTATTTGATGTGATTAACAGTTTTTTATCAATAGTGTTTCTTCATAAAAAAAAATCAACATAGGGATTTCATTTCTTGGATGAGCCAACATAGATGATAGTTTAATTCTACTCCCCCTACACTCTATTAGTTCATATACATACAGTCCAATCTACCTTTTAATTCTGTCATTAATTACTCACTAATTACCCTCGTGTCGTTCCAAAACAGTAGACTTTTGTTCATCTCCAGAACACAAATGAAGGTATTTTAAATGAAATCTGAGAGATTTTTGTCTCTCCATTGACAGCCTATGCAATTACCACTTTCAAGCCCCAGAAAGGTAGTAAAGACACCATTAAAGTAATCCATGTGACTCCATGTTGAACTTTAAATTTATGAGTGCAAACAAACATCTCCAACACACGTTCACGAGAGCACCACGACGCATACGTGTTGTGTTGACGCCAGAGCAGACATTGTTGGGTGGAGGTGCATCGGAGATAAATATTTTGTAAATAAAGAGGTAAATTAATTAATAAATGCTTTTGGGGGGGTTGCGCAAACAAAGCCCTCGTGCCGCTACATAAACCAGAGGTTAAACCACAGGAGTCACATGGATTACTTTAATGATGTCTTCACTACCTTTCTGGGCCATGAAAGTGGTAGTTGCGTAAGCTGTCAATGGAGGGACAGAAAGCTCTCAGATTTCATTAAAAAGATCTTCATTTGTGTTCCGAAGATGAACAAAAGCCTTACTAGTGAGTTAATTAATGACAGAATTTTTTGGGTGAACTAACCCTTTAAGGTTGAATGAAATATCCATAAATTTAATGGAAAATGTACTTGTAATTTTCTACAAGGGTATTATCTGTTTTTCGACAGATTTTTTCATACAGTGTAGTGTGCTGCAGAGGTGATGTATTTTTGTAGGCCAACCTACAAAACACTGGAAGTTAGCATCACCTTTGACAAAAAGACAACAGAATTTTACCATATAGGCTTTTGTTTTATTGCCGAAAATAAGCTCTTTGACCAACAAAATTTTTACAATTCTTATATGTTTTGTTCATCAAGAATTTTTTAAAAGAAATTTAATACAATTGCCAGAAGGCTATTAAAAAAAACCCCATCACAATCGCATGACTGCAATGTCACCACCACTAAGCTGTTGACAGCACTTTCCATTTTTTTCAAATGAAAATATAACACAGGTTTCAGGTTTTAGGACTCATTCACTCACTCAGCTGTGATCTGGAGAAAATAACTTTTGTTATCTTTTTAATAAATCATGAGCTGCTGGGGTGACAATCATTTGAGGGGAGGCGGATCCCCTGACATGTATCACAATGCTTGTTTGGTGAGATTATGCTCTCTGACCTGGCCAAGGGGTTTTGGTCAGTAAAGTTCTATTTCAGGAGAGAAATTCTCTAATGTGCAGATCTTTCCTTCCACCAGCTGATACTGTTCCCAGCAAGCCAGTCTTATTTAAGGAAAAGTACACTGTGCATAACCCAAACCTAAAATTGCTTTACACTGAGTGTGGACAATGTGTCTTTAGCAACAAAGTTTTTTTTTTAAACATTTTGCAAGAATCTTCAACCTTTGTTCTGACCATTAAACACCTGCATGGTAATCCTTAAGCAAACGTCTTACTGGCATACAAATATTCTATATTCCTTAAAATACATAGAAAAAAACTCAACAAAAACCTGCAATAATGAAAAACTCCCCACACTTTATGAACTTACACGTGTAAAGTTGTTTTTGCCACTGACCTCCAGATGTCTTTTGACATTCTTATGAATGTTTGTACAAATGGTGGGGTGTTTTTCTTGCAGTTAATATTTCATACTTGAGCTTCATTGGTGATTAAATGACTTTACTTCTGTTAAACGTCCCATCTGGGTTTAGTTTATAAACAAGATTTCCATTAAGAGAGGTCCCAGATAGCATGTAATCATTGAAACAATGTTGACTCAGTGTTGATGCGTCAACGCTAATTGCATTGAATTGACGTTACAAAGTAATGTTGCTTTAGTATCACTCTTGCACCCTCAGTTAATGTTGAAATAATGTTGGGAATTCAACCAAAAATCAATGGTAATAGTATTGATTCAACATTACAAAGTGATATTTTATCAACATCACTTTTGCACCCTCAGTTAATGTTGAAACTATGTTGAACAAAAAATCAATGGTAATGCTATTGAATCAACGTTACACTATGATTGATTATACATCACTGCTGTTGAATCAATATTGAAATTAACAAAAATACTCAATGGTAAGATTGTTGAATCAACGTTACACTATGATGTTGAATCTACATCACTGCTGTTGAATCAGCTCTGAAATTAACAAAAATAACCAATGGTAATATTGTTGAATCAACGTTGCACTATGATTGATTATACATCACTGCTGTTGAATCAATATTGAAATTAACAAAAATAACCAATGGTAATATTGTTGAATCAACGTTGCACTATGATTGATTCTATATCACTGATGCTGAATCAATATTGAAATTAACTAAAATAACCAATGGTAATGCTATTGAATCAACATTACACTATGATTGATTATACATCACTGCTGTTGAATCAATATTGAAATTAACAAAAATAACCAATGGTAATATTGTTGAATCAACGTTGCACTATGATTGATTCTATATCACTGATGCTGAATCAATATTGAAATTAACTAAAATAACCAATGGTAATATTGTTGAATCAACGTTACACGATTGTATCTATATCACTGATGCGGAATCAATATTGAAATTAACAAAAATAATCAATGGTAATATTGTTGAATCAACGTTACACTATGATTGATTCTATATCACTGATGCTGAATCAATATTGAAATTAACAAAACTAATCAATGGTAATATTGTTGAATCAACGTTACACTATGATGTTGAATCTAAATCACTGCTGTTGAATTAACACTGAAATTAACAAAAATAATCTTTGGTAATATGGTTTGATCAATGTTACAATGTGATGTTGATTCCAAATACATTTTGTTGAAAGACTGAAAAGGAATGTCAAACAATGTTGCCATCTGATGTACCAATTAATGTTGAAACAACATTAATATTTCAATCACACTTCAATGGTGCGTCAACAAATTCCTGACCATTTCAAAATTTGTCGAAAACCTTTTCAAATATAAATGACACCTTTCCACCAGTTGAGTCAATTTATTTTATTCAATCAATCAATGACAACAAATATATTAAAATATCATTTTTTTTAAAGAAAGGGGGAGAAATAGGACAAAAGCATTTCAACCTTTAAAAATAAAATTGCTTCAGAAGTCTGATGCCATCATAACTACAGGTCCAGCGGTTCAGGTTTTTAAAAATCTGTCTTGCATCATCAGATTCTGCCTCTTTTCCTTTGAGTTCTCTGGAATCTGAAAAAGAAAGCATGATGTTACTCATTAACGAATCAATTCAGTTGTCATACATACAGTCACATTCAATAATGTTAATATACTAAACACAATATGAATCACTTTTTTTTTTAAAGTCACTGAAAACAAAATATTCTAACTACGATTATAGTATCGTAAAATTCTGTTTATTTATTTCTATGCTTTAATATCAAAAGAAAACACTAGCAGGGGTGTCGGATTTTATCTCCAGCCCTAATTAAACACACCTGAGGCAGTTAATCAAGGTCATCAGATCAATAAACACTTCCAGGTGCTGGAGCTAAACTCTTCATGAAGAGGAACAAACACCTCTGAGCTATAGCCATTAACTACATCTCAGTTCATTTTCTGTGAAACTACAGCATTCAAATAACACGTTTATCTTGTAGAATAGAAAAGATCTTAGTTTTTTTCAATGAAATTTTCTTTAAAGAGATAGTTCAGCCCAAAATGAAAATTCTGTAATCATTTACTCACCCTCAAGTTGTTCCAAACCTGTATGAGTTTCTTTCTTCTTTTGAACACAAAATAAAATATTTTAAATTATGTCGGTAACCAGAAAGTTGACGGTGGCCATTGATTTCCAGTAGGAAATAATTACCATGGAAGTCGATGGCTAACATCAACTGTCTGGTTACCGACATTATTCACTTTTCTTTTGTGTGCAGCAGAAGAAAGACATTCATACAGGTTTGGAACAACTTGAGGGTAAATAAATGATGACATAATTTTAATTTCAGGCTGAACTCTCTTTAAAGCTGCATATTCACCTTATGTAGACCCCAATCTCTTTAAATATCACAAAATAGCCATGTCAGTCAGTTTCTTAATAAACACTAGATGTTTTTTTGTTATTGTGTTTCAGTGGAAACAAGCTAAACTGAATGGACATCAGTTATTTCTCAAATTTAATACAGATTCAGGAATATGAATGATTACCTGATTAAGCAGTGATAAGATACAGGATATCATCAAGTCCCAGGTCAGGTGATTATGCTGTCGACAACAACTCAATGTATGATCAATGTCAGCATTATCATCACTCCTACTAAAGGAGCAATGTGTTCTGCATGCAAGCACTGACCGATACAAGACATGGGCTATGTTAACATTCTTGCTCATGTTCATGTCTCTTGCACCTTAAGAAATCTGTCAAATGACATAACTTTATTCAGGAAATTCCTAATAAACTTTACTAAAGCAAGATGCATTTTCTAGGAATGTAGAAAAATAGATGCTTTATTCAAAGACTTTAATAACTTTGTAATCTAATTACAGTGAGTAACAACACAAATCAAACGCAAATAAGCATGCAAAACAAAGGAACAGAGAAATAAGGTAGATGCACCATTGTTTGAAACGGTGCTAGAGAAGTCATGTATGTCAGGTGATTCAACAAACAAGACTTCTGTATAGGATGCACCTGTTTTCTCTCTAATGAGGAAGCATTAGACTATTGAAAAGTGCACATGCAAAGACAAAATGGGCGTTTACCAATCAGTGGCCAATATCAAACTACAATACAGGTAAATGTTTTTCAACCATTTTTCAACAGACTTGCTAAAATCATGAAGGCCCACCCCTAAACCAAGCCCACAGTGGATTACAGCAAATCGGGTAAAGCGGTTGAAAATGCCCATTGTGGTTTGAAAACGGCCCACTGATCGAGAAACACCCACTAGTGTTCTGCAGAGATACGCCTGAATGATCTTGTGCTCATCAACTACAAATCACTGTTAGTTCAATGTCACTGTCTCCACCCATGTGTGTTGTTGGCTTTCATCAAAATTTCAATGCTGATCCAGCACACTTTAAACATTGAAATGTCAATCTCAACCAAAATGATGGTTTAGATCAAAACTCAACATTGTATCAATGTCACCATGCTATCTGGGGTTTTATCCCCCATTTACTTAATAAACGAGTGCTATAGACTAGAAAGCAGTAATTCTCAAAGCTGCGCATTTTGGATATCCTCCTTATGTAACACACCAGAATCAATTCACCACCTAATAGATGTTCCATATTGTAAATTTGAAGATAATCCAGAATTGAGAACCGCTGTTTTGAGAGTATGAAGTTTTTTTCAATAACAAATCAGTGTTTTTCTACCAAATGATTTAAAGGGGCTTTTCATCTATTAAAAAAAAGAAAAAAGAAAAAAGAGGGACCTACCCTGACCTCCTAGGTTGTCTATTAAAGCCTGTTGACTGATTTTTATGTTAAGGACTCGAGATGTTTTTGCCGGGAAAATCAAAATGATGCGACGTTCACAATGTTCTTCTGCAAGACGCAAGCAGTTTTGTTTATTAACCGTGAGCGCCAAAAGTTACATAGTGTACCTTTTACGAATGAGTGAACCAATCTGAGTGAATCTTTTCAATGAACCAATTCATATGGTTCAGGTTCTCAAACGTTTTGAGACAATTCGATTGACCCACCACTATGGCTGCATCCGAAATCGCATACTTCCCTACTATATAGTAGGTGAAAAACAGTATGTGCCAAATGAAGTATGAATTCACAGTACTCATAAAAGAGTAGGCAAAAAGTACCCGGAAGACCTACTTCTTCTGGAGAGATTCTGAAGTGGGCATACGATGGACACTTTACTATCATGAGGCCATGGGAGAGGTTTTATGAATGGCAGTGAAGCGATGCAACTGACGCTGGTAGATCACAGGATAATGAAAAAAATGGTGAATGTAGTACGTGCAGATTACATTCATACTACACACATTCATAGAACGTACTTTTTTAGTGGCCAAGAAGTAATTACGGACACTAATCCACCAAGAAGTGGATTCGGACACGCTCTAAGTACACTTGCGCCATGTGCTTTGATCGTTAAAATAGGGCCTATTGACTTTAGACCAGGTTTCAGCTTGTCAATGGCGCAGTCTATTTCAGTTGCCTCAAAATAGCAACGCGCCATCAATCCGCCTGAACACACCTCGTTTTCAGACCAGCACGCCCATGGGCGCACAAAATGCATTTGCTATTTAAACAATGTGGCGCAGGACGTGAAAATGATAACTGAGTCGGGCTGAAACTAGCAAAAAACACCTGCGTTTGCACCGCATTGTGCCTGGTGTATGATATGTGTGTCAATGTGTATGTGTATTGAACAGCGACACCTACTGCTGGTGATCTTTAGTAATAACCTAGAACAGAATAAAGCATGTGCAATGTAAAATTTAATTAACAAGTTAAAAAAATGATGTAATGTAATATTTTATTTTTGTGTCTTTAGGTACGAATATTCAAAGAGATCCATGATAACATCTACCTGAAATCAGAACATGTGGTTTCTGCTGACATGAAGAAGAACCTGGTCATTTTTCACTTTCCCATTTTCAAAAAGCGGGCCAGCGAAGCTAAAGTCTTACACATGCCGAGAGAAGCAAGAGAACTCCATAAAAAGAATACCAACAGTGGCTCATCCCATTCTCACACCTGCAACACTGAGGACACACCAGAGCCTGATTGTTGTGGTAAATCTTGTCAGGATGGCTACAGTCCCAATGATCTAGCCTCACAGACTCACAATTCATCTCCTGATGTGCTGCCTCACATTCAGACTCACCCACACACCATCTGGAGCAACTCTGCAGCATTCCAGACATCACATGGATACTCTGTTCCTCACAGGACAACCACTACTGAAGAATCCAATACTTCATCAAATCCCTCTTTCCCACCTTGCCCTCTCCATCCACCTCTTACAGGTGTGTCGAAAGCTATGTCTAAAACAGTGAGGATGACTCTGGTCATTGTGCTTGTCTATACGTTGTGCTGGTCACCCTTCTTCATTGTACAGCTGTGGGCTGCCTGGGACCCCAACCCCCCTGACCAAGGTGAGAAATTAAAGACACAAGAAATATATAGCCAGTGGTGGGTAGATTAGTTACAAATTGTAGTCCATAACTGATTACAAATTACATGAAGATAATTGTAGTTAGTAATTCGTTTATCACATAGATTTGAATAGAATTGTTTTGTACCATATATCAATAAAATATAATCTGATTATGAGCATTTTAAAATGCAATCTTATCTAATCTAATAACAAGTACTTTTTTGAAATCTGATTACATAATCCAGATTACATGTAATCAGTTACTACCCAGTACTGGATAGCATAGCATAGCCATTTTTGGAGGTAAAGCATGAGGTACAACTCAATGACGACATTTGGCTGTTCAAAAAGGGTATTATTAATTCCTTTACAAGAGCACTGACTCATTGGATTGTGGAAGTGTATTGGAATGGTTGCAAATTATCCTGAAAATGTAGAGCCCGTCAAGTCAGTGTTTACTTGCAAATGCCCTCCATCTCTTCATCTCACGTTCTCCTAGACACATCCATATTTAAAGCCCTTTTCTTCACACCAGTAAATAACCCTTCTCCATTCCCCGCTGCTCTTACATCACTAACCAGATTTTGATATCTCTCACCACAGACCACTGAAAGCTGCTATACATCTGTGCTCCCACTCCAGCTGCTTTTGATTTGATTCAGATGTTTACGTGCAGCCAAATGGGCAACATACTGCTGTTGATTGAACAGTTGAATTTCATATAAACTGTTTAGTATTTGTTCTTGAATTTTTTGAGGCAGTGTAAAACTACAACAAATTTAATTTAGTTTAATTTCCTTACAAAATCCTTAACAAAATCTTGTTTACTTTATACTGTGTAAAATAAAAAGTAAAATCAAAAATTTTATTAACGTGCACTTCATAAAATTATTGTAAAAGTCATAAACAAACACTGGAATGAACAATGTAAATACCCTACTGATTTGGTTCTGAAGTATGTTTGTTGTTTTGCGAATATAAACTATAAATGCGCCGAGAGTGGCCCCAGCTAACAAAAATATGTTCTAAGAACATTTTGCTAACATTCCCATTAAGTTATGAAATCATTATTTCCAAATGTTTTCAGCACGTTCAAAAAATAAATAAATACAATTTCTAATTGTTTTAAAAACATCTTTATCTTGGTTATGAATCTTAGAGAAAACATTAAGGGAATGTTACATTTTGTCATTTTGCTAACATTGAACATTAATTTGGAATGTTCTCTGAACCATCTGAAACAAATAAAAAGTACTAACGTTTAGAAAATAAACGTCCAACTAAAACGATTCAGAAAAACGTTTCATGAATGATGTATACATAAAGTTTTTGTGCTAAATGTTTGATAATGTTATTTAAGACCAGATAACGTTCCTCGAATAATGTTTGTTCATAACTTTGAGAGAAACTGTTCTGAGAACATTCCCCGTTAGCTGGGGTGAGTGTTCGCGCAAGTATAAACAAGGTTTTATGCTAGTCGAGTTTTGAAAGCTCTCTTAGATTAGCACATTTCAAGGAGTCACCGTCTCTAATGTGGTTTATATTAGTAGTAGCCCTTAAATGAGGACAATAACTTGACCTCTATGATATTTGACTTAAGAATTGATTTGACTTTCTCTACCCCTCTCCCTCATTTTCAGGAGTGGCTTTCACCATTCTGATGTTGTTAGCCAGTCTGAACTCTTGTACAAACCCGTGGATCTACACAGCCTTTTCCAGCAGCGTGTCACGTGAACTTCTCGCTCTACTGCGCTGTCGGCCAAAGCTGCCTCGCAGGAGCTCGATGCACGACCACTCCAGTGATATAAACACCTCCACCACCAAGGACAACCAGTACTGACCCCTATAGAATAAACTAAAATTGAGTGTCAGCAGAGGTGGCGATTTATGCTGGTGTATCTGTCCTACGCATGTGGAAGACATGTTGTCATGAGATATTGCTACATCTTCTATTCAGAGTAGCTGAAGATGCTGTTTTAACTGTGAAGAGTGGTATGCTAATAAGCAAACTGGACCAAATGTGACAAAGATCATTTCATGAGGATTTTTATGCTAAAACGGACCACTGATAACGAGGCTGATCTCATCCACCAGGATAACAAACAGCATACTGAATGTCATAATAAACTTCATTAAACTCCAAAGAATATTGAGATAATTTCTAAACATATTTTATTGAAATTGTCCTCTGTTGTCTGAGAGATGGAGATAAAAGTCTTAACCGCAGAGGAAGAAGAGATCAAGGCCTTAACCTCAGAGCCAGCAATTTCAGTCTTTCTGCCATAAGTCTTCTTCAGATTCAGAGCTTGCATGGCAAGGACTGAGGAAGAAGATAAATTATGTGATCCATGCATGGAAACTACATCCAGGGGACAGACAGAAAAATCTGGACTAAGAAGTGATATTCCTTCCTTGTTGGACAAATATCTGACTTTCATTAACATTCAATGCATAAGGTACAGTTATACAAATGGACTAATTTGTATATTTAATGTGTCATATTGAATAATAAGCAGACTGACAAAATATGCGGTGTGCAAAGCAGCAACACTTTCAGTTCCTCAATAACAGTTGTAATTATTTATAAGAGCACTATTTAAATTTGTGTAAGCATAATAGGAAGTCATAACGAATATAAGAATGATAAAAGAATAGAAACTAAAATGACATCAGGTTACAGTGCGTTAAAATTAACTGATTTATAACTGAAGTATATACAAATCTTCAGGATCAGTCCTCTGATACTGTAAAAATCATTTTCTTAATCAGTATTTTTACTTAAAAATTTGCCAGCGGGGTAAAAAACACAAGTATCTAAAAAGACAAGTTGTAATGTATTGCAAAATTTTGCTTATCAATTTAATTTATCTTGTTTTAAGACTGGCTATTTTTACTAGAAAACAAAGTACTGATTTAAGAGATTATTTTTGTAGCAGTAGCTGTCTGATTTGTTACACTGTTCACATATAGGCTTAGATTAAATAAAAACACACAAGATATAATGTGAATAAAAGTAAAAATCTATTGGTACAGATGTTTATCTAAATATATTTATTTGACATTTTAAAGAAAAAAAAATGTCTTTGCCAAATCCTTGTGATTAGAAACAAAAGCTAAAGAATCCAAATAAATCACAAAAGAAATTCAAGACTGTCTGAAAGTATATGGACTAATCTGTAAATTCATCAATCCTAATAACGGTCTGCAGCTGTCGACACGACAGATCTAGTCACAGTTGTTGTTGATGCGAGGATCGAAGTACAAGGCCGGCCACAGGTGTCACACATAAACTGGCTAGATGTTGTTATTTTTAAGGTATTGCGCTTTCAGCGTCTTCGTTTGTCTACTGCAATGGTGATCTGGCTGGACTCAAAGGATGGTGTGGTATGGTAGTATGGCACTGTGTTCGCCATGATGTCCTGAATGCAACCATCGTTTCAAGGTCAATTTGGTCCATGTTGCATACCGGTAGTTTCAAATTGGCTTTGAGTCCGTCCTTGTAATGTTTGAGTTGCACTCCTTAAGAACGCATGCCGATCTGGAGCTGGCCATAGAAAACCTGCTTCGGCAGGCGTGAATCTGCCATACGTGCAACATGTCCAGACCAGCGAAACTGTGCAGCGAGCAGGAAGGCCTCAATACCAGGGATGCCACAGGTCTGGGACTTTATTCTGCCACTTGACATGTGCGATACGACGGAGACAGTGCATTTGGAACTGTTCAAGTTTGGCAATCTGCCGGCGATAAATGGTCCAAGACTCCGATCCATACAACAGAACTGTGAGGAAGACTGCCATAAGTGCGGCCACCTTTGTGTCCAGCCGGATGCCGTGCTCATCACACTTTCTCTTGGACAGTCGATCGAAAGCAACACTAGCTTTTGCGATGTGGGCACTGATGTCAGAGTCTGCTATCGCATTAGCCGCGAGAATGCTACCGAAGTAGCAGAACTTGTCAACAGCTGTCAGCACTGTTTCACCTGCAGTAATTACCGTTTGATTGGAGTTTAACTTGTTTACTGCTTGAAGAATGACTTCTGTCTTCGCTAGACTGACAGTGAGCCCAAACAGGGAAGCTGGGCTTCGGTAAGGGTGTGTGCCATCAGTGTGCAGTCATCTCCATACAAGATGCCACGCAAAATTGCGGAATGTGTGTTTGTGCGAGCCTGAAGCCTGCGTAGATTGAAAACACTGCCATGCGGAACTGGATTGGAATGCCCATGTCGAAGTCCTTAAAACAGCATCATGGAAAAGAAGATGCTGAATAACAATGGGGTGAGCACACAGTTCTGTTTGGTGCCATTGGAGATGCCAAATGGGTCAGACAGCTCGCCATCATCCAACACCTGACCAAGCATGCCATCATGAAATGAACGGACAATGTTAACAAATTTCTCTGGCCACACTGACTTTCCGGGACGATGTCGCTGTCATAAACGTGTTGTTGAATCCTAATAGTATTGTGGGGGACACTTTAATTGTAATTGAGGATAAATAAAGCATTTTTATTTGATCTAATATGTATTTATTTAATTTATGTTTCAGATGACTCCAAATGTGAGCTGATTTTCATTTAAATGTACTGATAGTAAAAGAGGATTGGTTTAATTTATGAAATCAGAAAACAGATAAGAACAACTGACTCAAATTAACCTCTTTGTCGAACAAAACATTTTTAACATCACCTTTAGTGGGTGATATCTTAGACTTAGAGCACACTCTTCGTGGTTTAAAGGTCTTTTGGACCATGGAAAAGGTTTACACAACTACTTGATATAAAAGTATATAGATCTATAAATGGTGTACAAATGGAAGAAATCAAGCACAGTTGTAAGTCTTAACAGGACTTGAAATTAGAGCAAGAAGAAGAAATATAGCCAATACATCAGGAGGTCACAAATAACCCCAGGCTTGCCACCATGACTATTTGTCAAAGACCACCTGGATGATCCATGACAGCTATTCGAAGAATGCACTATGGACAGATAAAATGAAAGGTAAACTTATGACATAAATTAGGATTGAAAGTTTGATGAAGACAAAATGCATCACTGCAGTAAAGTATCTCATTCCAGCCATTATATGGTGATGAGGTTATCATTCGGCATCTGGACTGTACAAATGGGCATTTTTCACAAACTGATCTGCTATGACAATTGTTTTGTACGTTGTAGTGGACTACTTCAAATTTTTGATAATATGCAGATAATTCTATAAACACCCTAAATCCATATTTAATTTTTCGTATTCATTTATTTACTTGAAAAGTGATATCATTATCATGTACTGTCATTATCGTAAACTTCCTTACATATGTTTGATGTTGAAATTGATTTGAGCGATTTCTTCTTATTTTTTTGGTCAGTACATCACCAGTTGCAATGAACCAAAAAGTGCAGTAAAAATTTTACACAAAAACACTACTGTTTATAAGGCTAACAGACAATTCATACTTCAAGGAGGGATAGCAATTGGAACATTCTGTGCTCACATGCAAAAGCAAAACTATGTCCTTAAATGGGTATCAATCCCTCTGACATTATCATATACACGTCTCTTTGGATCCCAGATTATCCTTTGAATTCTTTTAAAGTCTGTTTCCTCTGAGAACAGGAAATACAATGAAGACCAGTTTTAAACTAATGTGAGCTGCAGGGCAAGTGAGCTTTATTAAACACGTGTCAAAAATATACATCCGTCTTAAAGTGCAAACCTACAAGTCAGGGTCATGTGGGATGATGAAATAATGAAACCATCATTTCTTCTCATCCCGTAGGCTTTGTTGGACAGGAACGCGGTGCTTATTAATGGCCATGGTTCAGGTTGACCACAGAAATCCTGCCAGTGTTAGACGGTGTGCTGGGACTGTGTCTGAGGTCATTCAATAATTAATGCCCGTTTCTGGTAGTTTTAGAGATATAAAGGGGGAATAGATCTGTTGAGAGGCTGACCCATTCAAATGTGGTCCATTTTAGAGCAAAAGCATCTTTGGAATAATTAGCATTCCGGCAGCAGAGTCTTTCATCTAAGTTCGGATTTTAGAGCTTAAAGTAGTTTACAGTTTTATTATAACAAATATTATGACACTACTGGTAGTTTATTATTCTATTTATTTACATTCTGTGAAAATGTAAAATATATCCCAAAAAATAGCTGAGAAAACCACAGTATGATGAACAACAAGTGTGAACTTCAAGTAATAAAAAACCTGAATGAATACTATTGTCGCATGCACTGATGTATACAACATGATTACAAACAGCAGGTCCACATTAGAACTAGTATAGAAATGTTGACAGGGATGAAAGGTTAATAAACACAACAGTGAAAAAAAGGACGTCTTAAACAGCTGCTGCTAAAAACATTTTCACACCAGATCAGATCATGCATGAAAATACAACATCGAATCAGCTTACATAATAAAAAGCTGCTCAAAATAAGATTAGTTTGTACCCCATTTCATCTCTGAAATATTTATCTAGGAGCCCTTAGCAAGAATGTTTTCCCGGATTTCTGCAAGAACTGCATGTTTATTTTACAGTATTACATAAGCTTTAAGCATTACCCTCTAATAAGGATGAAATTACTTACACCTTAGTTGGCCTTAGGACGCACTGGCAGCTGGCCATGTTACTAGCACACTGCTGGATACTGAAAACACAAGAAACACATTTATGAAGGCCAGACATTGCATTCTGTTTAATAGCCTGTCTTGCTTGCACTTACAGTTAATTGCAAATACCTGTAGTATTATATAAAAGTTATGAATGGTCTATAAAGTTTATAAAAATGTAAAGCTGTCAAATGAAGGCTACAAAGTTTGGAATTAATTGGAAAGTACTGTGGAAATAACTGATCCCATATTTTGTAGCCAATTATATACTGACATTTTGAAGGGAAATATATATTTTTTTAAGTTTGTGGTTTAACAATTTTGGGAAAAGATTGTGATATTATTAAGTGATGTTACTAAATCTTGAAAAGGACATTTTTATGACTATGACCTTGACTTGTCCCTTTGGTCATATCGAAGTCTTACTGCCCTCAAGTGTTTATTAGTCAGAACTGCAATTTTTCTTTCACCTTATAAAGACCAATAGTAACCGATGCCAAGTATTTAAATAAGATAAAAAACCGACTGAACAACAGGCAATGGCACTAGAGGCTATTGCAATTTTCAGTGACTCCGGTCAATTTTAACATTGAGCTCATTTTTTTGTACATTTCGAGTGCTGTCAGTACAGACAAAAACGACAAAAATCGGTGTTGCCTACACCGTGTTATCCTCTTTTTAAAATTCGCACCCTGTTGACTTCAATAGGGCAAGTTCTAAACCTGCTTTTAGCCTCTTAACAACCTTAATATTTCATTACAAGTGCACAGCCATGTGAGTGGTGTTATTAAGAGTGACCACGGTCAATCTGACTGCAGTAGATGTGCAAGATATTAATAAAAATGATGTTAATTCAGCCAGCTCACATGCCTGTATTTACTTCCTGTTTTCGTTCGAAGTCCACAGTAGTCAATAGCTGGGCTTCAGTCACGTGATTATGATGACGCGCGAAATTCAGATGGAGGGCAGGGAGTGAAGAGCGCAGTGGACGAGATGGAGGAAAGTCCGTACTGTACTACTTTACACGCTATTACAAGAGAAAGATATAAACAAAAAATCAAACGTATGTTGGACGTGATCCTTACGTTATGAAGAGGAGCGATTTTCAACTGAATTGAAAGATTTTCCTGCCATCGAGGCGGTAGATATCATGAACTACCTCGTCTTACAGACATACTTTGACTTTACAAAGTTCGTAAACGTTACACAAACATTGCCACTTAAGTTGTATTAACTCACCTTTGACGAAGTGATCACTGCACAAACGGGCATTTTCCCATTCGGCTCCTCCCGACCGCAGACGTAGGTTTGCAAGCCGTTTTTCCGGAGTTTTTCGGTCAATTTCTTGCATTTTCCCCCCTTAAGAACAACAACTTTTGGTACACGATAAAAACTCCTCGTGGCTTGATCGATTTACGGAACCATTAACGACGCAAAACATAGGCATTTTGAGTTTGTTATAGTGATTTCTAAATACAGCAAATCACTACCTGTCCTCCATTTGCATTTCGCGCCATGGCAACGCTGTGGCGTGACGTCATATGAAAACAAGCTATTGTCAAGTTCGCGCGCGCGATCATTAGTTATATTAAATGCCGCGTTCCAGGCAACCTGTAACCCGTGTTTTTCCAACCTTATACCTGTGAAAGTGCACTGGAACGGCAGTCAAACCCGTGACTTCCCACCCGTGAACTCGTACTAGATCGATGTACTCCCAGTTACGAGTTCTGACGTCACATAGCCCGCGGAACCATACAAAACAACAATGGCATAAACATGTTGTTGTTCAACTTCAGTGTGTTTTCATTGCCTACAAGTCACTTGTAAAACTGTTATTAATTACTAACTGTTATCTTCCTTGATATTAAATTAGTTTATCTGTGTTAGTCTGGTGCTGTGTAGTATTTTACATTTCTTACAAAGTTTTCACAGTCACTTACATAGAAAATATAAGAAATGACAGTAGATGAGCCTTTGTGAGACTATAGCCGTACTGTAGGCCTGATATATTCTTATTCCACAGAGTAAAGTACACTGAAGAACAGTTGCTTGTTACAAGTGTGCAAATGAGACTGTGGAAAGAAAATGGCAACATATTGTACATAGTATATCAGTCACATGCATTCACAACTAAAACAGATTTCACACGATGGATTGATGCCTCTTAAACCAACCTTTTAAAACAGTACAAAAATACCATACACAGAGATTGAGCTCTCACTCACACGTATGTTTCACCTAAATTATCTTGTGTTTCTATACTTCCTTTACAAGTTTCCCCTTCTCCTCATTTCTTTTTTTTTTTCAGCCAACATGGTCAGCTGATCTAAATAAACCCTTTCCTTTCCACCCCAGTCCTCTGTTCGAAGACGTTTGCACAGGGGATGTTGTCTCTGTTGACTTAGATGTGTTTTTATCCGGCGAAGATTGGCGGACAAGAAGCTCCTTAAACACTGAGTGCATCATGTGATGCACTTCCTGCAAGATATGGTAGACAAAAGCACACTTTAGTAGGGGGAGGGAGGAGATATCATTGGTATTATAACTGGGATTTAAACATCCTGACCTTATCCACTTCTATTGAGAGTTCCTCTCTGCTTCCCCCCTCGGTAGTGGATCGTCTCGTTTGAGGGCTGTCAAAGTTACAAATTGACTGATTTAGTCATTATTCCATAGATGATAATAATCTGTGACATTAACATTTCCATAATGCCAAATAAACAGTCTAGGCTATTTACACACTCAAATGTTTTCCGCAGAGCCCCTGGAGAATTCCCTGTCTGTATATATTGTCCTGTGGGTATTTGTAACAAAACCTTTCCAGAAGTGACATGGCTGGGTCCGACCCCAGCTTTGTCACTTGTGACCTTGAGCCTAGAAAATGAATACAGATAGAATTATTCTCTAGTTTATCTAGTTACTGAATCATTGATCATCATTATGCAGTAAGAATGATGAGTCATTTTTTGATCATCATTATGTAGTAAGAATGAGGTTTACATAAGGTTAGGTTAACGTAGGTAGTAGATTATGTGCTTGTTTCATTTGCTGTATTTGTATAAACTCTGTACAAGAGTTCACATTCTAAACAGAATATAATAACAAAGCTATCCTCCACACATTATACAACCTGTGAGTGTTTTACCGTGTACTTTGCTCTGCTTTCAGCTCTTCCTCTGTCTGCTGTCTACCACAGCTGGATTTCAGAGTTTCCTTCCCTTTCTGATCTTGGCCTCCATCCGCACTGAGCAACATAGAGGGAAAGAATTGAGGAGTGTTATGACTCTCTAGACTGTGGTTTGTAGTAACTGCTTGTGGCTTTGACTCAATAGTGATTCCTGAGTCACAACTTAAAGCCAATTCTTCTAAATGCCTTCAATTTATATAACACCCAATAAAGTTATGCAACTCCAACAGGCGGTGACATTAACAGGTATGTAAATGCATAGATTAAGGGCAAACAAACAAATAGTTGACAATTCACTAGCTCTACCCCCTTGATTACTGTTGCTCACTCAGACAAGCTTTGCAGAATGTCTCAATGAATTTCAGTAAAATGAGCTCAAAGTAATTGGATATTATACTTATGAGGGCTTGAATGAAGTATAGAATATTACAATGCTTTTTTTTTATTAAAGTTATTAATGAGAGAGAATTTATGTCTTATATCTGTCTTTATATCTGTCGGGATAGATATTGGGGGAAATTACCCAATAAAGTTATGCAACTCCAACAGGCGGTGACATAAATGGGTGTATAAATCCACTGACCATGGAAAATCAAGTAAATAAAGAGGTGAAATCAGTAAGTAGTTTCTTCAATTGACCATTTGCTAAGCTCCGCCCCCTTGGTTACAGTTCTTCACGTCCCACGGGATTGAATTTCAGTAAAATGTGCTAATAAAGTGATTGGGTATTAAACTTTTCTTTAAATTGTTAAAAGTGGCCATGCATTTAGAGATAAAAACCTACCTTTGCACACTAATATATTTATTTGGAATGAGCCCCTTTGTCCCATTCACCTCTCCTCTCCACCAATCAGAGGAGGCTTTGCTGTAGAGGACGAAGCGGTCCCCGTATTTGAAGGACAGCTCGGCTGAAGAACGGCCTGTGTAGTTAAACAAGGCCACTCCTTGCAGCTCTGCACATCAGAAACGGACAGAGAGGAATTAGTTTAGTTCTACTCACCCAGATGTTGACAGTAAACTATGTCAACCTTACCGTCTTTTCCTTCTTTTGTTTGAGATTGCTCTGATTCTCCATCTCCTTCCTCTGTTACAGTCTCACTGTAGGCATAAGAAATATTAAGTCAAGTCAATTTGATTTGTATAGTGCTTTTCACAATACACATTGTTTCAAAGCATATTTATAGAAAATCATAATGTTAATGTTTCTAATATTTTAATATCTTCACCTTATAAGGGCTGTCACATTTAGCGGATTAGAGCTAGGCGATAATCTAGTTTTACATTTTACGATGATTAGTTAAGATTTGCTATATAGTATATATTGCTTATTGTGATACCGTACGTGTGCAGGTAAAATTCCGGGATACACCTATATCTGGGATATATCTAGCTCTATAGAGCTGTGCCTGGTCCTGCAGATTTGCCTTATTAGGAAGATCAGGCCCTTCCAATCAGCGCATGCTACACAAATCCTTGCCCAAGCTCTTGTTCTAGCTAGACTGGACTATTGTAATGCTCTCTTGCAGGCCTTCCAGCATGTACTGTCAAACCTCTGCAACTGATCCAGAATGCAGCAGCGAGAGTGGTGTTGAACGAGCCGAACAGAGCGCACATCACACCTCTCTTTATCAATTTGCACTGGTAGCCAATAGCCACTCGCATCAAATTTAGGCACTGATATTTACCCACAGAACAACCACTGGCTCTGCACCCCTATATCTAAACTCACTACTTAAGACTTATGTGTCCTTCAGAAGCTTGCGTTCTGGAAGTGAAAGAGGCAACATCCCAAAGAGGCACAAAACCACTTCCACGGCCCTTTACCTTGACTATTCGCTGGTGGAATGACCTGCCTAACTCAACCCGAGCTGCTGAGTCTTTAGCCATTTTCAAGAAGCCATTTTCATCTGCACTTGACCAGTTAAATCTAACACTTACTATTCTATTATATTTCCATTCTATCTATTTTTTTATTTATAAAAAAAAAACTTGCTAAATGTACTGTGCTAGACAAACTGGGATTAGTCATAGCACTTTAATATTGTTGCTTCAAACAGATTCTAACTATTAACAACCCCCTTTTTCCCCCAATATTATAATGTAGCATAATGAGAGATTTACAAGCTATTTTAATAAGGCCGGTTATTTTTGACTGGGAACACCAAATTAGATAAAGGATTTTCATCACAGCACAAGGGATAGTTTAAGCTGCGTTCACGCCGTGTTGTGATTACCATAGTCTCGAGATGACAACACGTGACGTTCTATTCGGAGCTGTTCCCGTCTGAGGACTGGGATTTATGCGTCTCAATGGCAACACTATCAACGCCTAAATTAATTTCTAGCGGTCAGGTGGTACAGCAGTAATGTGGTACATGTAGGGACTCTAAAAAAAATTCCCACCTTACAAGCTGTAATTATGAGCTCTAAGAGGCGAGAACGCTTTTTACAAGTTGAAATCACATAATTACATAATGGCGTGAACGCAGGCTTACATTTGAGTTAATTATAGTACATATCACTTTACATGGGTACGTATGTAAATAAAGTTGGATATACTTATATTTTAAATATCAAGCATGCTTAAAAGATTTTTACCTTATGCTTTTAGCAAATATGTGTTTATGTGTGTGTGTGTGTGTGTGTGTGTGTGTGTGTGTGTATGCGCACTAAAGGGATGGAGCTTAATTCTCACCAGTCTTCTTCTTCCAATGCCATGCACTTTTCATACACTGGCCCGGGTAATTCATTCTGGCTAGGGAAGATGCTCTCATGTTGGGTAATGATACTCTTGACCAGGGCATTGATGCGCTGAAGCTCTGACGCATCACCATTATCTGGCCCCCTCACTAGACTGGGCCCAAAGCACACTGCCAGGTTATAGGGCTGCATCATGTTCTCGTCACTGTACTGGGAGACACTTTACACACACACACACACACAAACATTTAGATGCGTTGATTTCATGACAGGAAAAAGGCCAACACCCAGTGACACCCTGTGATACTCACTGGTGAAGAAATGCAAAAATATATCTCATGACAATGATGAGCGTGGCAGGATATGAGGAGATGACGCACTTCAGCTGTGTTACTTTTTTTGTTTCGTCATCTATTTCTGAAAGAGAGGGAAAGTTAAAGACACCATGAAATGTATTCACTGCTGCAACCCCTTGAAGTTGACAAAATAAACTTCTGGCAGAAATGCATTTAAAATGGACAGTTTTCCTTTTGTATCAATTTATTAAAGCTGCAGTCTGCAGCTTTTCCTCTTTGTCGCCATCTCTGTTCGAAATCTGCAATTGCAGTTATTCGCGGAATTATCAACTTTACGTGAGTTGTACTTCAAAACCCTCGACACGGCACAGCGCGGATGAACACAATGTTTGAGGAGAGTGTGCAGCTGTCAGTCACCGCGCCGGTGTGGATATACTGGCATTCAGAATCACAGATTACTCTTTTTGGAAGTATGACCAACATAAGAATTTTCACCGGAAAATGTCATCTGAACAAGTAAGAAACATACACTTTTGTTCTGGTTCTGACATTGCAGTAAATCGCGCTGAATCGCTTATCATATCACGCAAAACCGTGCAAATTATACTTTGTTCTCAAATTGTTAATGTTAACAACGTCACGTCAGCATTGCGTGACTACATGTAATGTCCTTCCGGTATGTATCCTTATTTTCGCATGGGTCCGGTTGCAGTCTCTTTTTTTCTGTAGCCGCTCCGAAGTCCGAACGAAGTCTTTTGTATTTTACAGCGGGTGAATCTTTTGTCACTGGTGATCGTCGTTTGAACCTTTCTGGATCCGCCATCAAATTGATAAGTTTAATTATATCAAGTGCTGTGAGAAAAGGCTATAAATCTCCACCTCCAGCATCCTCACACGCAATATAGCCTTCTAGCCGAGACTCCTTCTTTATGAGTACAGATGTGACGTAATGACGCAAAGAAATGCTCGGAAATCCACCAGTACCATTGGAATTAAAAACATTATTACAAGCTTACCGCTTTGAATCGAGCTAAGGCAAGCAGAGAGTTTTGAACACTGGCTGGTTGTGTATTTTCTCAAATATGTATTTTGGATAATTTTTAACCCCAAAAAAGCTACGGACTGCAGCTTTAACTAATAAAATAAATTGTTCAGTAAAATAATAATTGACTGCAAATAACCAGAAGCAAATCAATAGTAGCAGCATTTATATATATATATATATATATATATATATATATATATATATATATATTTTTTTTTTTTTTTAAGGACAATATATAAAATTTTTGATTGAAAAAAAAAAAAAAATGGCCAAAAATATATATAGGAAATATAATACACTAGCAATGTGTATTTATAATAAATTTTTACCTTTTTGAATATATAAAAAATATATATTTTTTAAAATCATAAATGTATATATATATATATATATATATAATCCAAAATACTATATACAAAATACTTTACCTAATATGGCTAAATAGTTCAAATTAAATAAAAATCTGCTTTTCAGCAGCTATTACATCTTCAGTGTCACATGATCCTTCAGAATATGTTAATTTGGTGCTCAAGAAACATTTGTAATTATTATCAGTGTTAACATTTTTGTGGAAACCATGATACATTTTCTCAGGATTCTTTGATGAATAGAAAGTTACCAATTTAAATAGATTTTTTTCAAAAGTGTAAAAATCGTCACATTTACTTTTGCTCAATTGAATGCATCCTTGCTGAATAAAAAGTTTTATTTTTTTTATTTTTTTTAAGTAATGTACTAATCGTAGTGTTTACCATAATAAAGCAATTTTCTGGATTTTTAATTAGACACTGAATAGAACTCCCATTAAAAGTTCTTAAAAAAATGGAACTGCACCATGTAAACTGAAGGCTCCTGGCTAACTATAAAATGAGTCCTTCAAATTATCCCTACCCTAACATCAGTTTCAACAGGAAACCTTATAACTAGAAAGAAAAGCACATTCAAAACATTTCATTGAATGTTTAAACAGTTACAGACCTAATGTCTGAACTCACATATACATTATACAAAGCAAACAAGCACATAATAGTGTGGTAAAGTCCTCTTACGCCCGCATTCCATCAGTTGGTCATAACTGTCCTCAGGAAAGAGGGGTTTCTCTAGTCCTCTAAAATAAAGTTTCAGCACTCCAGCCACAGAGTCCATGTCACATCCCTCATCAGCAAGGGGGTCATCGCCTATATGAATAATTACGAAAATCACAGCCTATTACTAATGCTCAGTGAAAGGAAGGAGAATATCATCACTCAGTGCACACACCTTTCTCAAACGCATCCTTCAATTGATTCACCACCATCTGAGATCCCGGCACTCTGAACAATCCCTCATGATGTAAGCCTTACCAGAGAAAAGAGTGAATGGGTTAGAAAACCAGTGATTAAGATGGAAAGAATTGTAGAAAGAGGAATTATTTCAGGACAGATCAAGAGGACTTAGATTTACCATTGAGGTTGATGAACCGAATGCAGTTTTCCACCACTGCAGGAATGATCTGTCCTGATGCCTAATAGGGAGGAAACACTTAGTGAGTCAGTTCCCTTCAACTGTTTTGAGTAAATCCAGAGCACTTCTGAGAGATTTACTTGGATGTATGATATTAGATCCCCACTGAAGAGCTTCTGGTTGATCTGGGCACCGGGGTTACTCTTTTTATGACGCACAGATCTTTTGGAGCATATTCTAATTAAACAGAAATGTTTCATTTAGTCAACAATAAAAAAAAAAGGAAAAAAGATAAGAAACAAAGGCCGTTTTACTTTCACTATAACCCATTAAAATGCAGGAATTTTGCCATTTGCCAATTTCGCCATATATCTTTATAAAATTTATAAATATGTATTTATAAATTATGTGACATATATAATATATATATTTCCAGCCATTAACTCTTGTAGGATGTCAAGAAAGCCTTTGTTTCCTTACCTGGAATGGGCAACATCAGCACTTTCAGCTGATAACAAAAAAGAATAAAAATCAATGGTCTTCGCTTTACAACAATTTCTGTATAGATAGGAAATATTATTCTACCTTTTTGAATGGCAACCTTTAGCAGGTCATGTTTGGCTTCCAGTTTTGATATTAAAGAGCTGTTGCATAGATGGTCTCTGACTTTCTGCAATAAAGTCATAGTAAATAAATGTTTTACTATAAAGTCATAGTAATAGAAAAAGTCAGACAAAAACCGTAATAAAGACAATTAGAGTATAATAATAATAGTAATAATTGTGTGAAATAATACATATTTAAATTTCTAAACGTGATAGAAATATATTATTTAAATTATAATAAATATAATAAATATAGTAAATATTTACCATAATAATATTGTTATAATAATTATAATATTTAATATTTATTCAATATTATAAATATATATATAAAAATAGCATTAAAAAAAAAAATATATATATATATATATATATATATATATTAATGCTGTTTATATATATATATACTGTATATATATACTGTATATATATAGTTTAATTATGTTAAATAATGGATTTCTATTTTAATATATTTAAAATTATGTGAAAGCAAAGCTGAATTAAAGGAACCACTCCAGTCTTCAGTGTTACATGATCCATCAGAACAGGAATGTTGAAAACAGTTGTGCTGCGAAACCGTGATAATTTTTATCAGGATTCTTTGATGAACAGAAAGTTCTAAATAACTAATTTCTTTTTTTTTTAAATCATTATTTGTTTTGATTACCGTGAAATACAAACTCTCAGTGTCCGGAAGGCTGGCTCTGCGCTTCAGCTGATAGTTCTTACTGGCTGATATATCACTGTTCCCCTCTGCTGATGACGGGCTGCTGGAAAAGTCTGGGGTGGATCCAAAGGTGTCCTCAACAATACCATCCAGCATGGAATTTTGGGCAGACTGAAGTAATTTGCCGGACTGCAATATTTTTTATGTATATTCATGTTTAGATGAACCAGACTTATAAAGAGTTCTCATAAATACAGTATTTTTATTCATCCAAATATCACTACATCTATCCTGTCATTTGACAGTAGTGCCACATACATGATACATAATAATAATTTGTGTGATTCTGGGGGTTTGTGTACCTCCTCAACCTCCATGGTGACTGAAGACAGCCTAGACTGCAGCTGCTGGAAGCGAGTCACCAGCTCGCTCATCATCTCACACTTTGCAGACACCTCAACCACCTGGAAGAGGACACATATAAGCAACTGCACATTTTTACACTTGTGTACATAGACATTTTATCCCGCAGTACCTGGTCGCCTTCATAGGGTTGGTACTGAAAGCGCAGGGGCAGGCAAAAGGCTGAGATGTTGGCCTGCATGAGAGTGTCTCTGTCCTGGTTCTGGTTCAGCTCTGAGACAGTTGTGTCCAGCTGCTGCAGCCCAGAGCTCAAGTTCTGCTGGCCCCATTGGCGACTGGTCAGGTAAAAACGGAACACCTTGGATATGGACTGGTGGTAACCCAGATCACAGCACTGAGAGGGCATGCAATGAGAGGTTGAATTATACCTGCTCAGTACAAAAACCTGATCATATAGAGGTAATACAAAGAAACTCACATCTATGAGAGTGGAAAGATCCTGAAGGTAGTATTTGTTCATGCATGCATTTGCTGCAGCCAAGTTGAGCAGGTAGTCATTGCGTGCTTTTGTGCTCTTAAGCTGAATTTCTTGAACTTTACTTTGCCTCTATGCACACATAAAGGTGAAATGTAACCTCAGAAGTTACTGGAACAATCATTTATCCACACACATTCAGTGTTGCACAACTTAACCACAACAACCAAACACACTGCTTTGCAATCTGCCACAATCACATGCAGACACTTGCCCCACATCACTGCACAGAGGAGGATGCTGCCCATGTGCACTTGATTTTGTACTATTTTCAATACAAGTTAAGCTCAAGTCAACAGCATACATGGCATTACGCTGATTAACACAAAAAATAATTCAACTCATGCGTTCATTTTCTTTAAAGTCACATTAAAATCAGAATTGACAATTCTATTTTTTTGGGGGGGAATATTGCAGTATTTAGTATAAATGATTTATCCATTATTTATCCTCTTGCAACGAAATCTTTTCTCTGATGATGTGTTTATTGGCATGAGGGCGGGACAACCTGTCACTCACATGACATCACAGCAATAGCAAACCACAACAATCCAACAAGCCAATCAATTCCCGATGGATAAAATAATGTCCCGCCCTACATTTTTTCTTGTTTGAGAAGCCATTTCACTCCGATATACAGTAGATCACAAAAGGAATTAAAATTCTTGCGTTTCATGCCGACAAAAACACTTACTTACAATGGAAGTACTTGTAAGTGGGGCCAATTTTTGGAGGACTTAAAAGTTGAAATGTGAAGCATATAATTTTATAAAAACATTAACATTAATTCTTCTGTTAAAACTTGTGCATTATTTGATCTGTAAAGTTCTTCTCATATCTGCGAGTAGTTTAGGGTTTTAAGAATTATGTTGTAATGGCAACAAAGTTGTTGGGTTGTTGGACATACATTTACACAGTAAGTAACTTTTTTGGTCAATCCCCTCTTTTAAACCTGTTAGATTACGTTGATTCAGTTGTAATTTAGTTTAACTAAAACAAGGGGGAAAAAAATTCATTTGTGGCCACAACATCTTGGGGGGTACCCCCTCCCCCCTATGCCATGTGCCGGGCTCTGTATGTAAGAGATTTTGTCTCAATAAAATTATGTTAATGCGCATTTTGTTCACAATGTTGGCGCTATACAAATTGGCCCCATTCACTTCCATGATATGTGATTCACTGTAACCCAGATTTGTCCATTATTTTTTTTAAGAAGGAAGGACAAGTGGAAATTCTTCTTTTTTGATAATCAACATTATGCCACAAGTGCAGTCGATTGAGCTTAGCTTGTATAGAACCTTAAATATATCTTTAATTATAACCATCTCATTCACAACCATTTCATATTTTGGTATTAAAAAGGAAGATATACTTTCTCTATTAGTCGTTCCATCTTTTTAGAAGCAGTTTGTTTTTGCTTTTCCTCCAGTCTGACTGCTTCCTTTAGTTTGCCTTCTGCGGACAGGAACTCAGAATAGTACTGGTAATATGTCTTCAAGGTCTGATTTAAACAAACATAGGAATGAGATTTGCAATCCATTAACTCTAAATGCATGTTTACAATCGATTCTAAAACAAAACCGTGGCTTGGTGAGAGGAATGAGGGGTTAAACTGACCGTATGAAGTTCTGTGGTGACCTTCAAGAGTCCATCCTGTAACTGGGTATAAATGTCCCTGCTCTGAAAATATAAATAATGAAAAAAGAGACAGGTAAATGATTGTCTTAGTAACGTTGTATTACAACGTCAGGAGAGTGGCCGGGGACTATACTTGACTATGAAACATAACATAGGTGTTATGTTTCTATGCACTGTCTGCAAAGTGTCTGTGCAAAGGAAGCCACGTGTAGGCTACTGTTAGTACAGGGCATGCATGTGGTACATGTCTGCAAATTTGGAAGGATGTGAAAATGTGTGTGTCAGTGAGATGGTGGGTGTGTACCCGTTTGGCCAGGCGTTGGGCATGTTCAACGCAGTGTGAAAGCTGCTGAGGCAGAATGTTGATGTAGCTGTCACTCAAGTAACTGTGATCTCTGCTCTCCTGACGTGTTTGTGTCAACAACACCTGCCAGCAGTTAACCACTGACTGATGGCTGGGCTCCTTCCTGAGGGTGATAGGAACAAAGAGCTATGTGCTAAGTTCCTGATACACAGCAATCGATGTATGCATATCAGTTAGAACCGTTTACCATTTCAAAATTTGATTTTTACATTGTTACAAAGAATTCTCTCTCAAATAAATGCTGTTCGTTTGAACTTACTATTCATCAAAGAAACATGAAACATGTAAGATGGTTTCCACAAAAAATATTAAGCAGCACAACTGATTTAAACATTGATAAGGAATCTTGTTTGAGCGACAAATCAGCATATTAGAATGATTTCTGAAGGATCATGTGACACTGAAGACTGGAGTTATGATGCTGAAAGTTAAGTTTACCATCACATCAATAAATTACATTTTAAAAGATATTAAAACAGAGTTAAAGAGATACTTTCAATTATAATCTTATTTAACAATATTACTGTTTTTACTGTATCAATGATCAAATAAATGCAGCTTAAAAGGCTTTGAAAAACATTTTCACCCACCCTAAACTTTTGAACGTGTGCGTGAAATGTTTGCTTGAAAAAGTGTTTTGGTTATCTTTCTTACAAATAAATTGCCCGTACAAGGTTTTTAAGGGTGGCATAAGTGTCCATTTTGGGGCCACTGTTTGTACAGAATTCATTCATAGGTTGATAGCAATTTTATGTATTAATGGTGATCGGTTCTTTGTATATCCTCACTTCCTGGTTCTAGAGGAGAACCTGTCACACAGCTTATCCAGCGAGCGGGCGTACTCTCCCTCGATCTCGCCTCGTCTGCGCAAATAATCAACCAGATCTTGAAACACCTGAGTCTTCTGCTCCACCTGACCGTCAAATATCCTCAACTGCTCCGCCAGCTGCAAACGCACCTCTAGAGAAGAGAAAGAGAGAACAATTATATTTTTATACTTCCTCTTTGTCAATCTGTTTCATTTGACATTGTGTCAAATAACAATTAACTCGAACAAGTTGGTTTCACAAAGATGGGAGGCAATAAGGATTGGTTATCTTTGTTAAATCTGTCTTGTGATGGTGGAAGTACAGGCAAAAACTTGCAGCAGATTTCATCTCATTGGAAAGCAGTCAGTTGGGTTCCATTTTCTATTCCTCAGAATGTTTATTGGGTATTCAGTGTTTGAACATCCATTACCTTTAATCTGTGTGTCATAGTCCGCTGTCACCACTCTGTCCCTCCTCAGTTTGACGTGGGATGACATTGTAGCTCCAACTAGGTGAGATTCTACTTTGAACAAGTCATATAGAAGTAAATTTGAAGATATATAGGCCTACTTCAAAAATATTTTCATTGGCAATGTATGCTTTTAGTTCAGTCATGACAACTCTGGGGATAGTTTGTAAAACATTTTCTTAATGTAAATAGAACGTGTTTGGTCTTGGCAGAGATCTGCTACACTGCTGTTGCTGCAGAGGAAGTTCGACTTGTTTCTGCTAAATGCTCGGACCGTTAAATTAATGGAAACAACTAGAGAGACGGACGGAGACCCCTGTAGCAGATCTAGACGTGGTGCTGAGGAGGCGGAGGGCTAATAAGAATTTGCATAGTGTGCAGAGATCTTGGTTATAAAGGGAAATGATAATGGATGTAAAATTGATTAATTGAGAATGTTACATTGAATGAACCAATCAGAACATGAACAGAGTTTGATGGCTGAACTATTATTTTTTTTTTACATCTATACAAACCAAAGAAATTAAGAATATGTATACTGAATTTTAATGTGAACATAAAGGCATTATTTATATTTTTCTTTAATCCATTTAAGCTCCAAGATCAATCACAAGATAAATTCCATATTCAAATATCATATTAAAATGTATTGGATAACACCTCTCTTCAAAAACGTGCACTGGTTGCACATAAAACTTGCACAAATTGCCGCCCGCATCAAATTTAGGCACTGGTATTTTCCCACAGAACAACCACTGGCTCTGCACCCCTATATCTAAACTCACTACTTAAGACTTATGTGTCCTTCAGAAGCTTGCGTTCTGCAAGTGAAAGAGGCAACATCCCAAAGAGGCACACAATCACTTTCACTGCCCTTTACCTTGACTGTTCGCTGGTGGAATGACCTGCCTAACTCAACCCGAGCTGCTGAGTGTTTAGCCATTTTCAATTATTTTTCCTCGTAATAATAACACTTACTATTATATCTATAAAAACACCTTGCTATGTGTACTATGCCAGACTAACTGGGACTAGTGACAGCACATGCATATTGTTGCTCTATTTGATTGCTTTCATGGTTTTCCTTATTTGTAAGTCGCTTTGGATAAAAATTTCTCAATGTAAATGTATATTCTGATTTAAAACAAACGGACACATTTATATCTATAATATACTATATCTAATACTCCAGAGTAATTTCTACATTTAAGACACTGCACTCATTCATGCTTGTCTGCTCATTGTAACATGTGACAGGGGTCATTGGCATGACATGACCTACAGTACAGTGAATGTACAGTCAGTGTACTGTGCAGTTTTAGTGAACAAATTGCACTTCTAGAGTATCAAAAAAGGGGAAGGTAGCAGACTTCCTGTGTTAAGAGCAATTCAGACAGCAGCAGTAAACTCTCACCCTGAGTCAAGACGACAGCCCCCCCCCCCCCCCAGACTCTCTCCTTCTATCATTCATCACAGAAACTTCCTCATTTACATCTCTTGAAAATAGCCAAATGTCCTCCAAATAATTGCTCTCATATCTTCACATTTAATGGACTCATTAATGCATGGTTCCCAACAATAAGAATGTTAAATTTTCTTGACACATGATTTATCTTTATTTACCCTTGTTGCCTTAGTTTAAAACGGTCTGTTTTTAAGAATATATATATATATATATATATACAATTTTTGGAGGGAGTCCAAAAATTATTTTGTTCTTTTTAGAAATAAAACGGTTTGTAATATGCATACAAAAGCACAATCAAATGTTACAGAAAAAAGCATCTTTTCAATATCATGTTATTTTATATGAAAAACCACAACACTTACCTTAGTAATACCTGCTGTTATTCACATTAGCATGATCAGAATATCCTCTTAAACAACTTCCACGCAGTTATATTATCACTTGTCCAAACGACCACTTTTTTCCCTTTCACATAAACACAGTGAGATACAGAGAAAGACCAGACAGCTCTTCTCCTTCCTCACTCGGTCACTGTGTGCTGACAGTGAGTGTACTGAATGCGGAGTAAAACCTCACCTTATTGGCCCCTCCTCTCTCTCTGTGCCTTCTCACTTTCACAAACAGTATCTTTTCACTTCGGATTCAAGCTACTATTTACTGTGTTTGACAGGCTTTATTTGGGGTGGCACGTTTCAGTTAAAGCTATTTATGCCTGCCTGTTTGGACATCTTAAAGATGTGTGTCATTCTGAAAGTAAATCGGCAGTTTCCAAGATCTGCCCACACAGGTTGATAATAGCAAGGTTGGTAAGACAAACATAAAAAGCTGGAAACTATTTGATTCTGATGCCTCTAAAGTGGCTACTATGACCCTAAAACAAGCATAATGACCTTTCAGTTTTCCTCCTACAGAAGGAGAAGCAGCTTGCATGGATCTGATTGCACACGTCCTTTTTGTTCACTCATGCTGATGGATTGTTTCTATTTATTTAATCTATCCAAAGGTATAAAGCACAAAATGAAATAACAGGTATGTTCTGTTTTTGCAACAGATGGAGCCTTTTACCAAACAAGTTAATAACACAAGTTTTAGTGATATATCTCTTCACTTTCATGTTCTCAGAAAACAAAGTCACAGATCATTGCTATCATCTGTGTTTTTTTGGTGTTAGTGTGTGAGGACCTATTCATTTCCTTCCTCTCCTCAATGCCTCATCTATTTACTTTGAGAAACCTAAATAAGTCTGTTAGTGTCTGTTGTATTAGAGTCAATAATGGAACTATAATTTTCACTTCATATTTTTTTTTTTTTTTTTTTTTTTTTTTAAAGATGCACAGTATGCAATCGGGTATTTCTTGAGAACATGGTGTGACAGTTAACCACTTTTCAATACCAAAACTAAACCACAAGTGCACTAAAAGTCTATTGGCCACCTCCTGCTGTACACAACAGTAAAAAAATAATCAAATTGCACTCGTAAAAATAACAATAATATTAACAAGGTATTAATGGTTTAATTGCTTGCTAATTATAAAATTAAAAATATGTTAAAAACAAGAACTCCAGTCAAATGTTCTGATCACATGGTTCAGTTTATGACGTAAAAAACAACAAATGTGTTTTTATCACATCACAAATACATCATATTCTAATGGAATAGTGTACATAGATTTCTAATGGAGGGCAGCATTCAAAAACATACTGCAGATCGTCAAGCCATTATGACCGTGAAGACTGAAAGTAGAGAAGTTTTCGGAGGAAGTTGAAAGATCCGGGCATTTGTTTATACAGGCCTTTGGCAGATATTTGGGAGACAGCATCATTTACCTAAAGAAAACAGATATTTCACATATATTATATTATAATATAATTAATTATAAATATTATCACAGTATAGTTATTTTAGCTGGACAGTCAAACACAATTTAAAATTCTTTCCTAATCTAATTATTTGCTAAAATATTTTAAAGCTTTAAAAGTTAAAGCTTTCTTTCATCCCATGGATACAGAATGCAAACCTAAGGTTAGAAAGAAAAAAAAAGTCTGTCACCAGTGCAAATTGTACTTGCATGTGATGCATTTTGAAGAGTAGTATATAGTTCTTGCATAGTGTTGAACCCTTTTAAAATGATATATTCTAGATATTGTGCTATGATACGGTACATACTGTCATGCTGCTCTACACTAATTGGTAGCATTATCATGGAGGTTTGTTTGTTATTTTCCACATTTTTGAGGACATATTTATTGCATCTATATCAGTGGCTGCCTCTATCACATGAATCTTGAAAGTTTTAAGAAGCTTTACGGGACAAAGACGTACCATCATCAGCATGGTCACCAGATCATCTGAAGCAACATTCTCCTCAAGCACCTGATCAAGATTATCCACATACCAGGAGCCGGCTTCCGTGTCCCTCCAAGAGACATAGCCTTCAAATACATTAGCATGTAGATCAGTCATTTGTATTTGGCAATCAAAAGGTTTGATTTCCTGAACTATTACTCAACCAAACAACGTGTTTAAGGCACAATATGACCAAAACACAGACCAGGAAAAGTTGAGTAGGACACCAGGATGTCGCTGGGTGTGGGCAAAGTGGCCCGAGCATCAGGTTCATCAGACGTGCTGAGAGAGTCGCTGCTGGAGGACATGGGAATGGCGTCCATCTCGTCATCTATCCCACCCAAAGAGGGTTCCACCTCATCTGGAGAAACCTCAAAACCTGTGTCCTTCTCACCTACAGGTGCACACAAAAGAAGTTTGCATAATATGAAAAACTGCAGTCCACTAAGAAACATTCATTTAAAAAACCTTGGGTTGTGTTTAGGTGCGATCACATTAGCAACATTTTGGTGAAATGTTATGGGGGAAAAGGTGCAGTGTCTATTGTTAATAGTGTAGCAATGTATGAAGCACCGCTCACACAGAAGTCACTTTCAAACCAGGCCACTTCATGTTGGTCAAGACGGCGAAGGTCACGTCACCAACTCATTGCGAAATTCCCAATCGTGTGGATTTCCATTGAAATGACTGGATTTTGAACATGAAAATTCACAGCACAACGGTAAATGGCTACGAGACTTGTGAAAGATTTCTGAGATGCCCACCTCCTCCACAGGCCTGGATGAAGAACAGCTTGGGCTTGCTCTGCAGAGAAGGACAGTTCTGGCCATTGAGGTAGTTTGTGATAAACTGAACTGGGAGAGCTGGTCCATCAACACCATGAACGGCTCCAGGGAAACGATTGTGGTTTGCCTAAACATTAGAGAAATATCAAATGAGAAAATAGAACTCATGCATGAGGGTGTGTTCTACAAAATGAGGAAGCACATAAAATTGCTCATTCAAACAAAAGTGAGGTTGTACTTCTATGTTGAGAAACTAATAGTCTTCATAACTGTAAAAGCAAAATTAGCATATATCCTCTTGTTTAAAAAAAATACATATATATATATATATATATATACAGCATATATATGTATATAAACTGCATATACAACTTGTTTTACCTCAGTTCCATGTGAAAGGATGATCACAACACAGCAGTCATATGCAGAATGATCCCTCTTCGCTAAAGATGACATCTCATGTTTTATATGCTAAAGAGGGGAGCAAAAGTTTTTCTAAAATGTATAAAGGACAGGCGGACATTTGTCTTGCAGCTATGTTTACAGTAAGAAGAAGAGGAAATACTGAGCTTACTTTGTATTTCAAGTTCCTTTTTACAATAACCTCAAAGTTGAGAGCTTTAAATCTTTTCTCCATCTTGTCACAGTCAATGTTGGACCCCTTTCGATCTTTTAGTTCAGAGGCTGGTTCAAAATCTACATTGTTTATAATCAGGCACATCCCACACGGACTGGCATCCATCTTGTAAGACTGTACAAAAAAAAAAATAGAGTGTGGGTGTTTGGGTGCAATGGTGCAGTTTGTGCATACAAACGCTTCAGTCTCAACTCAAGAACTTGATTAAGCTTGTGTACGGAACTATTTCCATGTTATTCCACAAGGATGTTCCCCGTGTTCCCTGCCAGTTGCTTAGGATAAAAAATCGTTTTCACACAAAACTGAAAACACTAAAAACTTGTGTGAACACAGATGTAATAATTAATCAATAAATTTGCACTTCATTTTTTTAAATTTAAGATGAATTTTTGGAACCAACTCCAATGCATGCAGCATGATAATCAGTCACATTAAGTAAGTCTTATTTCAGAGTAACAAAAATGGTTCATGTGTCATAGGCTAATATAAAATTTTAATATACACCATCAATCAAAAGTTTTGGGTCGGTAAGATTTTTTATATTTTCTAAAGAAGCCTGTTATGCTCACCAAGCCTGCATTTATTTGATAAAAATACAGTAAAATACAGTAAAACAAATATTATTATAATAAAAAACTATATTTTTACTAAATATTTTTAACTATATTTCATTTCTGTGATGGCAAAGCTGAATTTTCAGCAGTCATTACTCAAAACTTACTGACCCCATACTTTTGAACAATAGTGTATATTGTAGTAAAATATTTTAAAAAGATGTATATATTAAAATTAAAATAATATTACAAAATATATAAACTATTAATACAATTATAAATTACTATTGAAAATATTTTTGTGGAAACTGTGATACATTTTGTTTGAGAACCTTTTCTGCACACAAAAGTAAGAACACTTGTACTCAATTATTAGTGAGCAATGCCAGTGAGTGAACACGATTACCTGTATACTGTCACGTCTCGGCCTGGTTGGTCTCACACCAGAAGCTGTGGACATGCATATATCCAAAGTTAAAGCAGCCATGAAGTTGAAGTTGCAATAGTGAAACAGCTTCTTAAACAAAAAAAATAATTGAGTGCAGGACTTGATTATGTACATCGGGAATTTATTGGATCATTGGTTCATTGAGTTCAACAGTCCCTGCACACTTTTTCAGTGGCTTTGGTTTTGGATGTATTTTTTCCATTCATTTTCCCCATAGGGATTTAAAAAAGTCTGTTAACATGCGTTATCAAAAGCTTTTTAAAATCCCTATGATTCCCTATGATATAAGCCATGGACCAAGCCAACCAGCTACACGGAGAATCAAGACTGTGTGTGTATTTAACGGTTTTACTGAGGGAAAGAACTACCATCCTATGAAGCATTGCGAAAAGCATAATCAAATTAAAAACAATGGAGAAATATAAAACTACTAATTTAAAAATGTTGAGTATATATATATAAACAATATATTTTAAGTTTATTGCAAAATATGAATATATATATAACTTCAACAGAAGCAAATGACATTGAGGAACAACCTCACAGCTCACAATAGGGCTGTGTTTAAATGTTTATGAGTAATGAGTAAATTTCCCTAAGGATAAAATTATTGGATTTTTTTTACTTCTAAACCCTGACTGTTGCACTCAATAGCTGTGATCTCATGTAAGTGATAAGTTGTCCTGCCCTCATGAATCGTAAAAAAAAAGATGTGCACTGATAAATCATTTATAATAACCGAAGCGATATTCCATAAAAAATTAGACTTGTCAATGCTGATTAAATGGTGACTTTTAAGTAATTTTAGTAGTATTAAACAGATGAAAACTTTGACTGAGAATTAAACCTACAATGTAGGAAGCTGTTTTACATGACAGTGGACTTACGTGGGCTAATAGGCTTGGGCAGAGGCAGGCTTTCTGGTCTTGATGGTAGGACTAGAGGGGTGAGATCAGGTATGTCTGGCTTTTCAGTACATTTTGGATTCTCTGCATTGAATCATAAGATCAGACAAGATATCTCTATTTTCTTGTAATATACTATGAAAAATCATAGTGGCAGTTACAGACACATCTCAAGAGGATAATGGTGGTAGGGTGTTTTATGTTCCACTGTATTATGGAAACACTTACGGACTGGCAGAGGGATCAGTGAAGGCTGTACTGGGATGGGGTGAGGGCGATGAGCACCATCTCCACTTTGAAGGAGCTCTGCGAGATCATGATGGCCAGTCTCACGCAGACACTCCAGGAAGGCTGGGAAAGCCTGACTCCCTCTCGTCTCCAAGTCTGTCACCAGTTGCCTGGCTTGGTCTCGTCTGATTGCTTTGCTCTGTTAGGAGAAAAATAATATTTCACATTCGCAGATTGGCATTAACGGAACTACTCGCACATGAATGGGCAGTCACTGTGGTCATATCGTCTTACCTTCATAATTGGAAACTAAACAATGCACATTATTAACAAGTGAACATCTCTGAAGCACGGCAGTTTGAATTAAATGTTAAAATCAGTAATTAAAATGCGACTGGGGCTGTCATTCTTTACATATTCTTTTGTGTTTCACAGAAGAACAAAAGTCATACTGGTTTAATGCGGGTGAGTAAACAAATAACATAAATGGTCATTAATTGGTGTAAGGTTACTGTTCCTTTAAGCGTGTAAACTTTCACAATCCCGTCCCAGTTTTCTCTATGTAAACAAAAACATCACTATTACCTGTATTTCATCGACCATGTCCTGGGTGAAGACCCCCTTTGACAAGAGCCCATCACAGATATCTGCAGGATGTAATGCCGTGACTAGATTACGCCTGTGCTGCTGAAGAATCTGTCTGTGCTTAGGGTCCATTCTGGCGAGGATTCGGTATTTAAAGTGTTGACTATAGACAATGAGACGTTTTCAATATAACAGATTTTTTGTTGAAGTAATACACAGTAAACGCGTAAAAAACAATAATGCTTGAACTGAATTGAATAGGCTTTTAATCAACACAAAACAAACGTCTCCTCGCTCGACGCTTTCTTCCTTGTTTACATCACGCTGACGATGACGTCATTGACTCCGTGTTGGGCAGGTGTTTCTAAAAGTACCCAGGGAAACTGAAACCTTTTAACTTGAAAACAGATTACTCATATAATTTATGTAGAAATTAAATAGAAAATTTCATTAGTAGGAAATTAAATGTAGTTTTATAACTGCATTCAGGGGATAATAGTTTCAATGTCTATGGGAAAAAGAAACAGCACTTAAATAATAGTGGGTGAAGTTCCATATAGTCTACGTAAAATGTAATTTTCTAATTCACACATAACATTAAACAATACTGGAGTGCTTTGAGTAATTGTTAAAGCATTAAGGCTTTAAGAGTGTGTAATATCATTATATCGATAGGGAAGCATATAGCAACTATTCCAACATTCTGGCATACATATTTTTTTTCCCTTCTATTATTTCTCTTTTCCGTCTGTTTGTGTGTACTGCTTTGGCAATATTCTATGTAAAACAATCATGCCAGTAAATAGTAGTTACAGAAAGTGAAAATTACAGAATTGTATTGCCACCTACTGGTAAAAGCAGTGAATGTTTTAAGTTATTTTGGCTCTTCATCCTCCAATTAAATACATGATTTAAGGAGCAAAAGAAGGCCAGTGTAATCTATGCGCGCAAATCTAATGCAGATGTGAATAAATTCACATCAAGGTTAACTGAAGCATCTTGCAATCAAGTGTGTTGGCTCTCAACAAACATGCAAGAGCCAATAAGATGACAAAAATAAGTTGCACTAAAATAACTTAGTATAACAACCTAGATAAAACCAAGCAGTAATTGGAGAATTGTGTCCTGATCTATTCACTTCTCAATGTAATTTTAAAAACTAAATATTTTTGATTTTTACAAATGTCAATTAACAAGATTAATTTTGGCAAAAATGAAACCCACTTTAATATTTTACAGTCTGCATTATCTTGGTTTGGGAATGTGACGAGAAAAGAAAACAAAGACTCATGATATTTTTAAGAAGATATTGACAAACTGTAACAGTACAGCAAATCAAAACAAGTTTCCCATATAGATCTTAAACATGGAGCCATTCAACAAGAGATAAAGCAACAACATATGCACTCATACTTATCTCCATAGTATACAGTTCCAAAAGCCAAGATTCTTGTGTAGATTTGTACATTCAATGGCAAATTTTACCTACATTTTTAGGCTATAAAACAAATACCAGGATACAAATGTAATTCACAGAAAGTAGAGTCCATACGGAAGAGCTTAGTCATTTGACTTTATAAAACCAGGTCTTGTCAGTCCTTTGTAGATGTGAAGCTTTCCTGCCCCTTTGACTTCAAAGCTGTAGTCTGTGGTGACGTAAGGTAAATCTCCTTCAACTCCATGCTGGGACAAGAGAAAGAGAAGTTAAGTACAACTGACAACAAAGACCCATCAGGTTGATAACCTGTCAACATGACCATTTACCCATTACACAAATGGTTTTATATAATCTGAACCCTTATATTCAGTGAGTAAAGTGTAAAATGTACCCCAGCAGTTTGTAAATGTCTAATGACACTTAAAAACCCATTAAATAAAAATAAAAACAATAACCCTTTAACCATTTTACGGATGTCAATGATCTACACTTCTGTTGAAAAGTTTGGGTCAAAAGGATTTTTTTTTACATTAACACTTACAAAAACAACACTTTTTTATACAGCAAGGACACATTAAATTGATCAAAAGAGACTAAAGACTTTTACATTGTTAAAAAAAATATTATGCATCAACTACTGAAAATATAAAATATGATGTACAGAAAAAAATATTAAGCAGCACAACTGTTTTCAACATTGTTAACACCAAGAGGTGTTTCTTGAGCACAAAATCAGCATATTATAATGATTTCTGAAGGACCATGTGACACTGAAGACTGGAGTAATGATGCTGAAAATTCAGCTTTTCTATCACAGGAATAAACTACATTTTAAAATAAAAACAGTTATTTTAAACAGTAATCCTATTGGACAATATTACTGTTTCTACTGAATTGTTGATCAAATAAATGTAGCATAAGAGGCTTATTTAAAAGAAAACTTGACCAACCCCAAGCTTTTGAATGGTAGTGTAATATTGCTGATTCACATACCTGCTTGGTGAGCAATACTTTAGGCAGAGTGATCTCTCCCAGCAGAAGACAGTTCACGTGCCTCAGGACAGAGGGAGATACTGGAGTAACCAGAAAGTACAGACCTCGTGCCATGTCTACCCCTCTCAGAACACCTTAATAAACACAACAGCAGGTAAACAATTACAGCTTGAGGAACGTTTTATATCTTTATTTTTATACAAGTTTCATATCTTTATACTTAAGTCTGCATGATGTATAATGAATATTGTTAATGTAACAACATATACAATGCAATTTCACAGAACAATTCCATGTCAAATCCACATATTAAAGGCCTTGAATACACACCTAGGCCCACACATTGACAGATAGGAGTTTGGGAGAGTACAACAGGACCTCCTCTGCCCACAACCTTCTCACTCAGACAGCATAACCCTACTATATTGGCATTGACCGCATAAAAGATGTTGTTGGGTGCGACTTCACAGTGTGTTACCCCTACAGCCACTGATGAGTGTGGGACCTGCAATAACAGTGCACAAAAAGGTGTTCACATAAAACATGATCAGAATTTAATACACATACAAGTGTGCATACATACATGTAAAAATATATTCAAATTAATATATATAAAAATAAACACCTGGTAGGGTATGAAGCAGTGAAGAGGGCGGATGGGACCAGGTTCTGAGGACTGAAGCTTACTGAAGTAGCTGAGCAGAGCCAGGTCTCGCAGCACATTACTGCGCTGATATTGCCTAAGAGGAATGCAGGATGGAAATTGACATTGGTTGGTAAAGTAGAACTAACCAAAAATGACCTAATTAAATCTTCACCACAAGAACTGCCAACAGATCATAGGTACAGTTAAAATCGAAAAGGTGCAGCTGGCTGCCTTACATATCTCCAGATATCCCAGCACCTTCAAATTCTGACTGGACACTGAGAAATATATGAGATCGAATGGTGAGGTGACTGGCTGGCTCCTCTGTCAAGGTGGATGGCGTCGGAGGGTGCGTCTGCCAGCCGTGGGCAGTTCTGAGGAACTCTGGGGTGAGAAGGTGACACTGTGGCGCATTTCCGTAACTCAGCTGCACCACATGCGTAACGGATAAAAGACGAATGAGGTCTACCAGTATCTGAAAGCCTTGGTCTGTGAAAGAGAGAAAGACATTTGTAAGCAAGTTAGTACCAGAAACTCAAATGAAAACAATATATTACAAAAAGATAAATATATTTACTAGGGCTACCAATTAAAAACAAACAATTATATTAAAAATGTAATTGACTGACTCGTATATGACGTCATTAAATAGTTTGACTGCCCTAATATTTGCAAAAATATTCAAGATCCAATGAGTCCATATTTCTGTAGTTCAAATCAATATTCCCATTTTATTGCCTTTCATGAGCAATTCTTTTTGCTGACCTTTGATCCAGCCCATAGTATTGATGATGACAGGACTCTCTCCACTGACATGGCGCCAGAGGGATTTGAGAGACTCCAGATACCGATCAATGTCAGCGTGACAATCTGCCTGACCATAATACACCATGTGCTTTGGGTCACGCATGTGTGTGAAAGGAGGCCCTAAAAAAATAACAACACAATCACAAACATGTCCATTTGTTTGGGTATGTAAAATCAACACATGCTAAATGCAAGACAGTTGAGTTTCTACAGTACACAGCTCTTCTGATTAGTAGAATCTGTACTTCATTTGGCTATATAGAAATGGAGAGCTTAAAGTATGCCACATACCCAGCAGTGGCTCTGTAACTGTGCATAAGGAAAGGCATCCAGGAGGGGTGAACTCAGTCTGGCCTAGATCACACTCCAAAAACTCTACGCTTACAGTGCTGCACACACACAACAAGGTTGAGACAAATATATCACCTTAAAATTACATTGCATGCAAATTCCTTACCATCATGCTCACAACTTTGCATGCAGGCTAGCCTACAAAAACACAAGATTATTCTAAATTCATCCTCTAATTAGTAAACTGATATAATGAACTGTATGAACTCACTGATTGAGCAGGCTGTTAAGAAGGTGCCGATTGAAGGTGGACTTGCCAACGGATTTCCCCCCACACACAAGAATTACAGGACAGCGGTCAAATTCCCCTGTGGACGAAAAACATTTTACATTACTTAAGAGTAAGACAGAACACATTTCCCCACACGGGGGGAAAAATGTAATGAATCAAATTTAGAAAAACCATGTGCAAATTCATCAGTCAACACCATTGCGGAGAGTATTTTGTCCTTATAACTACAGTGTACCAGTAAGAGTTTCAAAAACGTGGTTTGAAACCACCCGTTCTCCTCCGTCACAAACTTGTAACCAATCCCATCAACGTGCGGGGCTTTCCCTATCATTACTTCTAGGGATGCTGATTTCTTAGAAGGCAGCTGTCTGACTGAGATGACGAATGAGAACATGGTTTGTGTAGCATTAGCAACTCATTATTAGCTGTTTGATAACGTAGTCAAGTCAAAGGCTAATCATATCAATTACCATTACGTGTCAACTTTTATTCAAAATCTGAATGGATTGAAAATAGCCTAGAAAGCGAGCAAAGACAGCTCCCTATATTATAATTAAAAAGCGGTCACTTATCTCAGCTTGCGATCTCACAAAGTTTTGTTATAATCAATGTATAATCTACACCGCTCAATGAATCTCTTATTTACATTGTGTCTTAATGAGAGGATTTGAGAGCATGCAGAACTAAGCACTGAACAAAAACTGAGCCGTTTTTAAAGGGTAGAGTCCATTAGCAGTCGTGGGCAGGGCCCGTGCAATGTGATGTCACATTGCATAGAAACTACAAACGGCTTGTTTTTTGAGACACTGATTATGATTTATGGGGATAAAAAAAAAAGGAGTGGGTGGATTTATAGTGTACACAACCATTATAGGGTGGTTGTGTACACACTGCCGACACATTTATGTTCAAACACCATGTAAAAGTGAATTTTGCATAATAGATCAGCTTTAAGTGGAGGCGGAGACCAATTTGCATTTTCATATATCCATATACTAAACGAAGCAAGGGTGTAGTTACATTCAAGCTATTTTAAGGCATGAAGAAATTATTTTCACAGAAAAAAAAAAATTGCAGTTGCTATTTAGATTGCCGTTTCCCACTAAAATAAAAATTTATTTGTATACAAACATTTGCACATAAGGCAGTTTTAGATCAACTTTTTAATTTATAGAATTGTTTCTATTCCAATTTGTTGTTGAAATATAAAGAATTAAACAGTGGCAGTCATACATTTTTTAGTGAAGTTTTGTTCACGCATAAACAGAGATCAGCATAGACTAAAAGATCGATCTTTAAATCGATTTTTTTTTGTCAACCCAGCCCTAATTCTTTCACCCTCATGTCATTGCAAACCTGTATGACTTTCCATCCTCTGCAGAACAAAAGAAGATAACAGTTTTGGTGACCATTTACTTTCATTGTACAAACAATTTTACAAACTATCTTCTTTATGTTCTGCAGAAGAAAGAAAGTTACACAGGTTTGGAATTACATGAGGTAGAGTAAATGATGATAATTTGTATTTATAGGTGATGACTATTCCTTTAAAATATGGTTTGAACAACTATTAAAATTTACCTGCCCAGGCACTGAGCAAACTGCTTATAGCTTCTCTGTAGCTAGGTGACATCACCAGACCCTGTGCACAAGGTCCACGCAAAGCTGTTACACCAACGGCTGACAGAACGGGGTTATAGATGGCAGCCTGGGACTTTATCTCCTTCTGCAGAATGCATAAACAGAGACACAAATATATCTGTTGCTATGCCAGGGTGCTCAAACAAACAATGTCGAAAGCGCCACAGTGTTTACATTCTTCAGAAAGACAACCTACAAATGGCTTACTTATACAGTAGTCAACATCTGAAGTGGATCAAAAAAGTTTGTCCTAAGACAAGAACGGGCATTGTTCAAAATTCATGTATAACTTTGATGAAAGGTTTTGATCCACTTCAAATGTTGACTACTGTAGTTGCCTTTGCATGTTAAACTGGGAATGCATTTTATCATCACAAACAATATACACATCAGCTATTTAAACTTGAACATGCAAAATCTGAAAATGTCACCGACTTACCGAGTTGAGGCCGAAGATCTCTGCGAGTTCTGAGAAGCTGGTGAGAAAGCGTGTGAGCGGCGTGTCCAGAGGTTCCAGAAGCACCACGCAGGAGTCCGAGCCCACCTCACTCATGAGCTTTTTACTTGGCTCTAGACATAAAAAGACGAATTGCAACAGAATTTTAGAAAGCTGGTGCAAAAAAGAACTTCAGTGCAGGTAGAAATTCAAGGCAACACTACGGGCAAAAACTTTTTCCAGGCCCTTTCATAATGTGTTGTTTCGGACTGGTGGGAAAAAAAACATCCAAAATACTCTTTCAGGTATTTATTTTATTGCACTTTATCTATTTTTGTCTGTAGATTTCAAATACAATACATATCTTTTAAGGCTTTTTTTTCTAAATGAGTTGTTTCCTCATGCACGGAGTTAGAAATCTTCACTTCAGCAGCACTTACATACACCAACCTTTACAGCTTTACTCCTATCTATATGATGAAGGTTTTACAGAGGGCTTTGTTCATATATAATTTGCCTTTAATTTTATTTCTAAAAACATGGTGTACTTTTTTTGTCTGGCTGTTGACAGTATTTTCGGATTTATGGAGTGATAAAAAAAGATATGCAAAATTAATGTCAACAAAATAAAAATTTTAACCTGGCTTTATCCAATGTTCAGAGTAAGAAAATGAGTACAGATTTAATTAGATAATGCCTCATTTGCATATTTAAACATAACATTTCAGAAAACTTGTAATACAACAAATGTTTGCCATTCTTAATGTAATCAATCAACTGGGTAAGTATGGTGATATCTATTAGTTTATTTTTTACGCTATTAACTTAGGATTCCTTGCAATAAAGGGGGATACAAAAATGCTAAAATGGTTCATTAAAATGTATTACGGAAGTAGGATACTCCTTGTGATGCTACCTGAAGAGAAATATTTGCGAATAATGGCTTTGGCTTCCAGCAGCCCCTCTTTCTTGTTCTTGGTTGAGCCCCCAAAGTTGTTTCCAAAGGCCTTGATGGTGAGAGGGCAGTGAGACGGTGGTGAGAACAGGGGGTAAGGTTGTTGTCCCTCCTCTATTGTGAAGCCCAGGACCTCTACATGACCATAGAGGCAAGTGAGCAGGCACTTTCCACGGAAACACAAGACCTGCGCAGACATCAGACACAAAAGTTAGCCTACGTGCAGAAAGTAATGATGGACCGATATATTGGCCAGGCTGATATATTGGCCAGGCTGATTAATTGGCCGACATTTGTATATTTTAAAGTTTGCAGCAACTGGCTGTAATGCTAATAGTCACAATATTAATACTAAAATAACGATAATACAAATAAGTTAATACAAATATTAACAACAATAGACTTGGTAGTTTCCTCTTATGTCAGTTTAAAATATACTAGCCTTAATTTTTTATTAAGATTAATTTTTTTTTACAAGTTGCATGCACAAATTTGGAGCAAAATAAGTTTATTGAATTTTAGCATTTTTATGACCATCTCACGCATTAAGGCCATTTCACACCGCACTGACAGATGGCATTTTCAGGTTTTGTCAGATCAGTGTGTCGAAATCTGTTGGAGCTTCCACCGATTGAACATGCTGAATTGGAATTATAATGTCTGATAAGTGACGTGACTGTCAGCGTTGGTCTGCCTCTGTCAGAGCAATGTGAATTGGCCTTTAGGTGTAACTGTACATGCACACATAAACAGATAAATCACCGATTCAAGTCAACATCATAGTGGTTAAATATCTACCTGGTCTTGTTTCATGACTAAAACAGCACGGTTGTGAGTATGGTCAAGGTGGGCATGGAATTGAAGATCGTCCTCCTTCCGCTGGTCTGTGTCAGGTATGGTTGAACTTTCCATGCCGTTCTGAAGAACACTATTGGCATATTCACTCCATTCTTGAGAGTCCACTGATGCGCTGCTGCTGTCATCCAGTCCGGTGCCTCCATTTGTGTGGACATGAGCAAAAGTCACAGAAGTGGCCTCAACCTTAACCTCCTTGGCTGGAGGGAAACTGTTTTCAGGTATAAAAGTCACAGGCTCCGCATACGACTTCTTCAACCGTTTTACTGTGGGTTTTTCCCTTTTGGCTATCTGTTGCTCCAACTTTGCAGTCCCAGAACTTGTGTTTAGCAGAGTTGAGTCCAGACTGCGTATTTTTTTGTGCCATTTATTCTTGCTGTGACGTTTGGTGGCATTTCGTTGCTCGTGTTGGGACCGGGAAGAAACCTTGTGTACTTTCATTGTCACACGATGAACTCCAACGAGCCTAAAAACAACATATATCCAGGGCAGGGGAACACCTGTGAATGAAGATAGTAATAATGGAATCAGCATACCTGGTATCAATAAAAAGGTTTTCTCTTTAAGAAATGCATTTTCTTGCCTTCTAGATTTGAAAAAAAGAAGAACCCCCCCCCCCCCCCAAAGAACCAAACTCAAGAAAAAAGAATTAAAGAAACGAACAAAAGGGGGGGAAAAGAAAGACTGACAGATTTTAAAAGTACGTACGTGTACGTATACATACATACAGACAGAAACTTTAGTCAGTTGGTCAAATATAGTGCAAAATAGTAGTATCATCATACATTATTAACAACCACTAGTAAGATCATCTGTTGTTAATATGATACCGAAAGCCACTTTCGTGGTTGTTCACTGACCTGTTTGAAGTGAGAAACGGCTGTACCCGGCGATTGTCCTATACAAATGATTTCAATCAAATCAGAAACGTGAAACACGTAAAACCAGAGTGTCTGTGAATATGCTGCTGTTTCTATGTAACTGGCAGTAGCTCCATGCAAACATAAAAATCACGCTGCACGATGCTGTTGTGGTTCTACTCCACTAATCGAAACGAAGCCGTTCATTTCCCCCTTTTGATCTGCTTTAAGACCGAATTGTCACTGTTTGTTGAATACGTTTGAAAGCACAAATATAACAGAAACAAAGATGAAGCGTAAAACATGTTACATATACGACTAGGTGGCTAACAGGAACGATTTCGTGCGGCACTGGCGCCTCACGGTTAGCGAATGTGCCATGTGATGGACAGTAACAGGTTTTCCGGAGTTTGAGTGAACTTTGATTCCACACTACCATTCTGAATTAATTCTCCACTATAAAATAATTCCCCATAACTATCAAAAAATGTATACATTTGAAGAATTAGTGTTCACTTTGGTTGCATGAGTTAAACGACTTAATCAGCTCATATGTGAAGAAAGTCGAACTCTGCGTAATACGTTGAATGGCCAGATTCCACAGAGCTCAAACAATATTGTAACGTCACTTCCTGTTTCTGTTTCAACATGGCTTCTTGTTGTTTAGCCCAAATTAAGCATTTGATGCTATATAATATATAATTAACTCACTAAATTACATTACGCATTTATGTCGAGTTTCCGTATATGAAAAGAAACATGAGAGCAATGATCTGATTTACGTGGAAGGTGAGTCACACAGTTGATTGTGCGGCGAGTAGTTTAGGGAGCGTCATTAAAAGGCGGACAAAGTGGTTAACGTTTAGGTAATATTAATTAATTAGATTGTCGATTATCAGCCAAAGTCCATCCGCATGGTATGGGGAAGCATTATTAAACATGGATGGATGAACATTTACAGAATTATTCTTTGCACTGTTTCATAAAATGAATTTGCGCCAAAATAAGTAAGATCTTGGAATAATCAACTGTGCTTGTAGAACAATAATTGCAGTATTTCATGATGTTCAAGAATTACTTAAAGTTGCATGACCGCTACAAACGAATTACGCCAAAATAAGCAAGAATGATTTTTGCATGACCTCTACTGGCATTATATCTTCTTGAAACATTTATTAATAATGACAGTATAGTATAAAACCATAACGACACACTTTTTATTGTATTTTACACAAATTTATTATAATTTTGAGTTTTTAATTATTATAAATATCCATGAATTAGCAAAAACCATTTACATTTTTTATAATTTATTTAAATTCAAATATAATATGTATACATAAATGTATACATTTATTAATTAAACAAAATGATGGTGTATGTTGTCTTTATCTTTAATTTCATTCAGATCAAATTTGTAATGAAATTGATGTGTCCTGCATGTCTAGATGGAGATCCCTGCTCAATGGTCCTCTCATGCTCAGCGAGTGCTGTCTTTGCTCAACAAACAGAGGGGTCTTGGCCACTTCTGCGATGCCATGCTGAACACAGCAAGTGGGCAGGTGCATCTGGCCCATCGCAATGTTCTTGCCTGCTTCAGCCACTTGTTCCAGGAACCCAGTTCCTCACCGTGTATACAGATCGACCTGCCATTAGAGTGCCCTGATGATGGACTTGAGCTACTGCTTCATTTTTTTTACACTGGTGAACTCCAGTTAGACGACAGCAATTTAGAAAAGATTCAGAATGCAGCTAGCGGACTGTCAGTGCCGGATTCTCTCATACCTTGCCAGGGTTTGCCAGGTGTAGAGACTTTGCAATCACCTGCTGCCTTGAGTGAAGATGATGAAGCCAAACCGCTATTTCCTCTCACATCTGCAGACTCTCAGCCTGATCCGACCCCAAAAGGAAAGACTAGATCTTGGCAGAGGATGAAAAATAAACCTGATGCATGCAGGTTCGGTTCACCGGTCACAGCTAGCGATGATGACACCCCTACCTCGACGTCTACTACCACCACCCGCTCTGGAAGGCGTGTAAAAGGGCCCAATCGACTAGTCGGGGAAAGTCCCATGTCTGCTGTTACGAGGCAGGGAGCAGGAAGGAGAAAACCATCATCTTTAGATGATAAAGAGCAGGAGATTGCTGCCACTGAGGAAGGAGATCATCTCAAACATCAAGACATGAGTGAGGCTGAGGTACTCTGTACATTAATATTCAACCAGAAGATATTTATTTTAAACTCAATCATCTATTTCTACTAGGTAGAATGCATTGATCATGAAAGTTGCTATAATAATACCCAATGTATTATGTGTTCTGATTTTCATTTCATACTACATCAAAATCCTTGATTTGACCTGTAATCTGTACTACATTTACTATTGTGTGTCTATTAGCAGGTGGATGGATCTGTTGATAATCAGAATGAGGATGATGACGACAATGACAATGACGATGATGACTATGACGGAGGTGAGAGTATGGATATTCTTAACGAGGGAACCGATGAAGAGTATATGCCTCATGACTCACCCTGCTCAACCCCAAAGACTCCACGGGGAAAGCGCAAACTTAAAAGTACCAATAAAGAGAATGGAGAAGGAACATCTAAAAACAGCAAGAAAGGCTCTGTCCAATGTCCAACATGCCACAAAACATTCCTCAGCAAGTACTACTTGAAAGTACACAACAGGTATGTGCACTATCATTCTAAATTTTGGGTTTGGTAGATTTCTTAGATGTTTTTGAAAGAAGTATCTTATGCTAAAGGAATTGTTTTCTGTAAAATGTAATTTATTCCTGTGATGTCAAAGCTGAGTTTTCAGCATCATTACTCACATGTTCCTTCCGAAATCATTCTAATATGCTGATTGGTTGCTCAAGTAACATTTCTTACTATTAAACATTTTGAAAATTGTGGAAATGATGATACATTTTCTTCAGTAGTATTTGATTAATATAAAGCTCAAATGAACAGCATTTATTTGAAATAGGAATCTTTTTTAACATTATAAATGTCTTTACTAAAATGAATGGTAGTGTAGATATATAATTCATATCACATGCATATATAAGATTAATGTTAAAGGCTGTCTGGTAATTGCAATTTAATTGTTTTTTTCTGTAATGACTGATCTTTTCCTTCCATCTTGCTGTCTGCAAGGAGACATACAGGGGAGAAGCCCTTTGAATGTGCTAAATGTGGGAAGTGCTACTATAGGAAGGAAAACCTGCTGGAGCATGAAGCCAGGAATTGTCTTAGCAGAACAGAGGTGGTGAGTTTGATAATGGGGGACAATTTAAAATATGGATACATGCAATAGGAATAACCATAATGTGTCATTTTTGGTGTTAACTTACTTCCTGCACCTTTGTAAAATTTGTGCCAGGTGTTTTCGTGTTCAAAATGTACCATGACCTTTAAAAAGCGACATGAGCTGCGTCTTCACACAGTCACGCACACAGGAGAGATGCCCAATAAGGTACATCATCCATTGTGGAGGTCAGATGTGACCTTTTGTCCAGGGACATTTCGGCAATGTAATTTTATTTGTCGTTTTAGTGCACATCATGCCCTGAGCAGTTCATGCAGAAGAAAGATCTCAGGATCCACATGATTAAAATTCACGGAGCTCCTAAACCACACGCAGTAAGTTACTCTAATGCTAATAACTTGGTCTGCAATACCATAATGCCCTGTCATTGAAAACTAAACCAAATATCAGATCAAATGTTATGTATTACTAATAAAAGTTATGTGTGTTGTGTAGTGTTCATTGTGTACCAAGTGTTTCCTATCCCGCACTGAGCTACGTCTGCATGAGGCAGCCAAACATCGTGGTGAGAAACTGTTTGTGTGTGAGGAGTGTGGCCACCGGGCCTCCAGCCGCAACGGCCTGCAAATGCACATCAAAGCCATTCACAGGCATGTGACATATGACATCACTGAAACATGCTTTATTTGTTGTTTATACTATGATTCATTATTTCTGTCTGCCTTTCAAAGATGATATGCATGCATGTGGTGAGCAGACAATAAAACAATGTGAAAAAATATATTTGTGATGTTTATGTGTGTAATCAGTTTTGGGTTTACCTTTTGAATTAATGCTGAACCATATTTGTTGCGCTTCTCTTCAGAAATGAGCGTCCTTTTGTGTGTGAGTTCTGCAATCATGCTTTTACCCAGAAAGCCAATCTGAACATGCACCTGCGAACACATACTGGAGAGAAACCTTTCCAGTGCCACCTCTGTGGCAAGACGTTTCGCACACAAGGTAACTTTTTCTTTGCCTTCAAAGGGATTTAATTGTGGCTATTTAGATTTCCAATTCATTTTTAAAACGGAATCCATGCAGTTTCTCTATTACTTTTGTATTATTAAACAAATGTTTTCTGATTGTGTGAGCAGCGAGTCTGGACAAACACCACCGCACACACACAGGAGAGCGGCCATTTAGTTGTGAGTTCTGTGAGCAACGCTTTACTGAGAAAGGTCCTCTATTACGCCATATAGCCAGCAAACACCAAGAAGGCCGACCACACTTTTGCCACATCTGCAACAAAACTTTTAAAGGTGAGATATACATAAAGAGTTATACAGTTACACTTTTGAGGCAATTTGGTGACATTTTTTTTACTTGCATGATAGATAGATAGATAGATAGATAGATAGATAGATAGATAGATAGATAGATACAGATAGACAGATACAGATAGATAGATAGATAGATAGATATACACAGATAGAAAGACAGATAGACATATAGACACAGATAGATACATAGATATTGATCATTTTGTAGATTATTTTTGATCTTGAAATAAATTAACATTGTTAAAATGTAGATTATTTTTATTATACATGTATATAATTATATAAAATGTATATATTACATTCTATAAATGTTATATCAATTATATAAAATGTATTTAGTTTATATGACATTATAAATATTATTTTCATTAATGTCATTGTTTTAAAAAAATGGGATTATTTCCTATTATTTTTTACTTGAATGACATATTTGATTAGAAAATTAATAATTTTAGATAGTTTATACAATTTATATATATAAACACTTATTTATCAAATTAAATAATATAAATACATTTTGTGTAAAATATATGAATATTTTTATTTATTTTAAAAAACAAGAATATATGAAAGGCAGTGGTTTAAAGTAATCAGTACTGAATAACAATTTATATCCCATGATGCCCTATCAGCCATCGAGCAGCTCCGTGTTCATGTACGACGTCACAAAGGCATGAGAAAATTTGAGTGTTCTGAATGTGGTTACAAGTTCACCAGACAGGTATGAATTAGATGTATTCATGAATTAACATATCAGATTTTTTGACCTCCTACTTGAGGTCTTAAGAGCTCAGTGTCTCTATCTTGCTTTTGACAGGCACATTTGCGACGACACTCTCAGATCCACAACCGTGTGGAGAACTACAACCCCAGACAAAGACGGTTGCGTAACCTGATCGTGGAGGATGAGAATGCAGCTGCCTCATCCAGTCCTTCCAGCCAGACAGAGGTTCAGGCAGGACCAGCGGACATGGTTAACCTGGTTATCCAGCCAGAGACGGTCGTGGTGGAACAGGTCGTCTCAGCCTCTGCTGGAGGAACAGGAGGAGACCAGGCCACATATTCAGTGAATGGTGAACAGACTGGGTTTGCTCTGACTGGAAGGACTGATGGTGGAATCGAGCAGACTCCGTTCACTGTAGCAGATGTGATGGAGCAGACACTGCTGGTGACCGACGCGTACCCCATCCATCAGTCCAGTGTGGTGGTGGAACTGCCCAGCACTGGAGCTGATGGGAAAGTTTAAATGGAGACTTTTTGACTCCAGAGCAGACATGGGGGGGTGGAATATGTATTAAAAGTCATTGAGACATGTCAAGCATTGTAAATAAACAGTATTCTTGCATGAAATACAGGTAAGAAACTTTTGATATTAATGTCTTTAAAGAAGTATCAAGCGTGACATGACACAGGATTTTCTTGAGTTTTCTATGAATTTGAAATCATGAGATTGTCTACTGTACTCAGTATAAGTCATTGAGCCCAACTTCTGCAAAAATGCAATGCTGTTTATCAACGTTTCAGGTCAAACTATGTACAATTTTTTGCTTGAAAATGCTCTTTCTCTGTTTGGATGAACAGGCAAAACTTAACTTTTTATTCTATATGGAGAAAGTGAAATCTTATTTCTACTAGCTAAGTGACTGGCACTTTAAGCTACACGATGTTTGATAAATTTGGATTTAATAATGTACAACCAAAGTTCTCGTAAGAGAATGTCATGATTTATTCAGCATCTGGATTTCATAATGTAAATTAAAAACAGTCATAAGCTTCATGTATACTCTTGTTTTAATAGAATAAATCATTAAAGCAGAAATCCAAATCTGTGTCTGTTTTATTCACTTTTCTATGCACTTCTTGTTAGTTTAAAGTAATTATTACTTAATTCCATTTAAAAAAAAACTTAAACCTTGATTTAAAAAAAAAAACTTAAACCTTGATTTAAAAAAAAAAGCTATTACACAAATATTTTTTGGAATAATGTGCACTGATAAATGGTTCACAATAAAACCAATTTATGTTGTCGACTAATGTTTTATCTTCATTATGGAGTTAAACTTGTGTGTGCTAATCATCTACTGGATATTCATTGTGCTTCAGCTGATGTTCTTTCTGCATCCTTATACTGTCTTCCACTGATTGATTCCAGAAGACGGGATGTATCAATCCCAACTTGATGGAAAATTAGATGCGTCTAACACAAAGGGTGGTACAGAACATGTACATATACATGTATGAAAAAACCAAAAGTAACAGTGCTTAAGTCATTTATTGGTTGACCACACATACAAACATTACACAAATCATCTCCTTGTCCGTGTTGTACAAATAATTTTGTCCACAAAACAAACTAAACCTGTAAAAAAAATAAAAAGTAAAGTACCGCTAAAGCGTGTTGTAATAATTAGTTTCATAATTACTGGTATTGTCAGACACATATATTGTCAAACATACATTTACTCGAGAATAATGAGATACCGAATTACTACTTCCAGTTATTAGCACAGCTTCCTAAAACAATCTGGCATAAAAAACAATACCTTCATTGATTCTTCATCAACGCAGACAGCTTAAAAAAACAAGCTGTTTCTCATAAACTGTAACAGTTTTCTCTAAAATAAACAATGAGATAATCAAACTTAATTTAATATTAAAATATGAGTTTAAAAGCAAGTCTAATAGAAATGCACTAAAAATGTGACCACTGCATGCATGCTATATTGTCTGACACGTAATTATAATAAGCACATAAAAAATGGGTTACACTTAGCCCGATTTTAAGTTTGTCTGTCAAACAAAATTGTTGTTTTTGGGAAGTCTTGGATTCTCCAAAATATTTCATTTCAACTCTTCTCTGCTTATATAAAATACTACACATTTCAGAATAAAGTCAAATTATGCTATAAACAATCTACATATCTACAATCTAAGTGATCCAAACTTTAACCTATTGGAATGCTTGGGGGGCTCAAAATAAAAATAAAAAATAAAATAAAAATGTACTTCTCATTATGTAATTATATATTATATTATATTTTGGGGGTTTGAAGTTGCAATGTTGTGAATAACTTTAGGTCCATGCTGAATTATAAAATAAATAAAAGAAGAATAATGAGTGTAACCTCCATGCAATTTCCAAGGCATGAATTGCTTGAAATTTGCCAAACACGATAGGCACTATTTCATGAGTCACTTCACTTAAGTCTCTGTTCAAGGTAAACACAGCCAGCATTAGAAATGCATGCAACAATTAAAGCTGTAGTAACACTGGGTTACTTGGAGAAATAACGCAAACATTGACTGTCCATTCACCAGCTCCCTTTACTGCCCAGTTGAGGTGAATATGTGATAAAGTGCAAAAACACTTAGTAGCGATGTCACATTGAATGACCTTCAGTTTAATGTTTCGAAAAGTTCTCAATGCACTTGATTGACATCTTGGTTGTGGTTCTGATTAACATTGTTGTTGTGGTTGTAAAGAGCCTGGTTGCGGTGGTGTCTGTGGAGGTGGATGGCGTTGGCCTCAGGTACGTCGATGGGTTCGAAGGTGCTTGGAACAAGGGGCATGAACTGTCGGAATATGCTAACACTTCCATGCCAGAAGGTGGGCTGGGGGAGCCGGCCAGCTGGCGTCCAAGATCGAGTAGAGGGGTCGTAGACCTCAACCACGTCAGATAGCTCAAAGGTGTTGTCATAGCCACCGGACACAAAGAGTCGACCACCCAAAACTGCTACACTGCCTCCAACATGAACCTGTAAGTGCGAGATGTTGTAAGTGAAGACTTTTTACTTATCTGTGTGAAAATGCAAGTTATACATACAGTGACTTGAATACAATTATTTTATGACTATTAGATAGTTTGGTATCTTTTATCATCATTTCTTAGAAAAAAATGAATACAAAACTTTATTCATTTTAATTTGTTGATAATAACAAAACTCTTTTACTGCAGCGCCCCTAAGGGAACATGGTGATGGAAAAATACACGAGATGGGACAAAAAAATATATATTTCAATGCTTAGTTAATATTTTTTAAATATATTTCATCATATTATGAAATTATGAAAATAAATATTGAAATATGTTCCAAAGTATTGTACTCCCCTGGAAACTTTGCGCTTGCTCGCTATAGCACTGCTATGTAGTTTATAATGACTGGTCAAGGTCAAAAAGTCACTTAAAATATCAGATATTTATGACAAGGTCAGTTCCGCTTGTAAATGTGGTGTGATACCCCAAAAACGTTCAATTGATAATTCATGATATTTGTAAAAAATAAACTCTTTATTGTGGAAACTCTTAATATGTCATTGATCCATGTACAGAATATGTAAAGGTGTGGTCACATACGGTACATACGGTCCTTTGTTCACTCTCAATAGTGATGCATGACCAATTTGAATTTGCTTAAAATCCTCTTGGGAAAATATTTTGCACAATAAGTGAAATTCCAGTTCACATAGATTACTATTTAAATTACTCAATTTTGATTGTGAAAATTTGAAGGACAGCGGTAAATGTGACCGCATCTTAATGGATTGAAACGAGGCAAAATTGACATACTTGTGCCATGGGACTAATCTTGTCCCATTCGTGTTTCTGTGGGTTGTAGACATCAACTTCTGCCGAATCATCCCTGAAACACAACCGTTGTTATGTGAAACATATAAAAGTTAATTTTCTTCATCGTTCCTTTTTCTGCAAACCACAAGGAACTGGACAAAAAAAAGTAAGTACCTTACCTTACAAAGTAGATCAAGCCATTTAGAGTCACTGATTTGGGGGCAAAGGACCACGGAGGCAGTTCTCCACCGTTGATTAGTGACCAGCGGTTGCTTTCAGCATCGTAGCACTGAATTGCCATTGTGTCCTCTCCGGTTAAGGATCCAATGGCGTAGAGCCGCCCCCTACATGCTGTAGTAGAACAGTTATCCATGGGATGCAGCATGGACGGAAGAGCCTCCCAGCAGTCTAGGGTATGGTCATAGCGCTCTGTGCTGTCAGAAGCTACCACATAGAGTTGACTCTTCATGACGCAGGAGCTGTGGTACTCTCTGGCTTTCAGCATGGGGGAGACCTCAGTCCACTCGTTCACACTGGAGTTGTATCGCCAAACGCAATCATAGAGACGTGATCCATCCGAGCCACCTGTCACAATATTTCAGGTTTGAGTGCTTAAACTTATACCAATACCAAACAGAATAGACGCTCTTTCCAATCATTTATCAACCTTATTTTTCAAACTTGCCTACACAAATAGACTTTTTAGATTATGTGTCCCTCTTCAGAGTAGTTTTCTATAAATAGGGATGACAGAATTTGGGATTAAAAATTAAACGCTAAAAGAAATGGAAGAAAATACAGTTCGGCTCTCGCATGTGCTTTCTTCCACCAATGTGCTTTCCTGCATTACTTATTGAGCCAAAACAATGCTACTAAATCTACAGTGCAAAACAGACAGTAGGGTTTTTCACACTTGAAATAGTTAACCCTGGGTGAACGGAATCCTGGGTTATCTTAATTGACGTTTGACACTGCTCATAATTTTATAATAATAACAATTAATTCTGGGTATTTGTAAGCTGCCGTTTCACACTGTACATTCCTAAACCCCGGGTTAATGTCATTATTTGCAAACTGTAACATTTTTAAATTGACCAAATTAAGTTTGTGTATGTATCTTTCACGATCTATGGCAGGCAGGGTGGACATACAGTATAATTACTTGACATGTTTAATCTTAGTGATTTCTTAAGTTATTCACGCCTGCCGGCTGTGTACGGACGTTGTTTTGTGACGGTATTTTGGATTGAAGTCTATGGGAAGTTTAGTTTATTTTCCCCTAAAAGTGGGCGTGAATCTGTTCAGAGACATTCTATGACATTGCGCCGGTTGTGAGTATTGGTTGTCGGTTGCTAAGCATCTAGTGGTAACATTCTAACACTGCCTCGTTTCACACTGTGCAAGTTGGATAGTTCACCCAAAAATGAAAATTAGCCCATGGTTTACTCACCCTCAAGTCATCCTAGGTGTATATGACATTCTTCTTTCAGACGAATACAATCGGAGTTATATTAAAAAATGTCCTGGCTCTTCAAATGGCAGTGAATTGCTGTTTCTGTTTTGAAGTCCATAAAAGTGCATCTATCCATCATTAAAGTGCTCCACACGGCTCCGGGGGGTTAATAAAGGCCTTCTGAAGCGAAGCGATGCTTTTGTGTAAGAAAAATATCCATATTTAAAACTTTATAAAGTAAAATAACTAGCTTCCGGCCAAACGAACATACGGATTCCACTTATGCGAGTAATGCGATGTACTGCTGATATTTACGCTACGTCATGACACACTACACTACTTCCAACGTCAT